CTTGTTCTACGTGTCACCTTGTTCTCTGTGTGTCACCTTGTTCTCTGTGTGTCACCTTGTTCTAAGTGTCACCTTGTTCTCTGTGTGTCACCTTGTTCTCTGTGTGTCACCTTGTTCTACGTGTGTCACCTTGTTCTACGTGTCACTTTGTTCTCTGTGTATCACCTTGTTCTCCACGTGTCACCTTGTTCTACGTGTGTCACCTTGTTCTCTGTGTGTAACCTTGTTCTCCGTGCCACCTTGTTCTCTGTGTGTCACCTTGTTCTCCGTGTCACCTTGTTCTCCGTGTCACCTTGTTCTCTGTGTGTCACTTTGTTCTCCGTGTCACCTTGTTCTCCGTGTCACCTTGTTCTCTGTGTGTCACCTTGTTCTCCGTGTCACCTTGTTCTGTGTGTCACCTTGTTCTACGTGTGTCACCTTGTTCTACATGTGTCACCTTGTTCTCTGTGTCACCTTGTTCTCTGTGTGTCACCTTGTTCTCCGTGTGTCACCTTGTTCTACGTGTGTCACCTTGTTCTACATGTGTCACCTTGTTCTACGTGTGTCACCTTGTTCTACGCGTGTCACCTTGTTCTCCGTGTGACACCTTGTTCTCCGTGCCACCTTGTTCTCTGTGTGTCACCTTGTTCTCCGTGTGACACCTTGTTCTACACGTGTCACCTTGTTCTCCGTGTCACCTTGTTCTAAGTGTGTCACCTTGTTCTCTGTGTGTCACCTTGTTCTACGTGTCACCTTGTTCTACGTGTCACCTTGTTCTCTGTGTGTCACCTTGTTCTAAGTGTGTCACCTTGTTCTACGTGTGTCACCTTGTTCTCCGCGTGTCACCTTGTTCTCCGCGTGTCACCTTGTTCTACGCGTGTCACCTTGTTCTCCGCGTGTCACCTTGTTCTCTGTGTGTCACCTTGTTCTACGTGTCACCTTGTTCTCCGTGTGTCACCTTGTTCTACGTGTGTCACCTTGTTCTCCGTGTGTCACCTTGTTCTACGTGTCACCTTGTTCTCCGCGTGTCACCTTGTTCTACGTGTGTCACCTTGTTCTACGTGTGTCACCTTGTTCTACGTGTGTCGCCTTGTTCTCCGTGTGTCACCTTGTTCTACGTGTCACCTTGTTCTCCGTGTGTCACCTTGTTCTACGTGTGTCACCTTGTTCTACGTGTGTCACCTTGTTCTCCTTGTGTCACCTTGTTCTACGTGTGACACCTTGTTCTCTGTGTGTCACCTTGTTCTACGTGTCACCTTTTTCTCTGTGTGTCACCTTGTTCTCTGTGTGTCACCTTGTTCTCCGCGTGTCACCTTGTTCTAAGTGTCACCTTGTTCTCTGTGTGTCACCTTGTTCTCTGTGTGTCACCTTGTTCTACGTGTGTCACCTTGTTCTACGTGTCACCTTGTTCTCTGTGTGTCACCTTGTTCTCCACGTGTCACCTTGTTCTACGTGTGTCACCTTGTTCTCTGTGTGTAACCTTGTTCTCCGTGCCACCTTGTTCTCTGTGTGTCACCTTGTTCTCCGTGTCACCTTGTTCTCCGTGTCACCTTGTTCTCTGTGTGTCACCTTGTTCTCTGTGTCACCTTGTTTTCCGTGTCACCTTGTTCTCTGTGTGTCACCTTGTTCTCCGTGTCACCTTGTTCTGTGTGTCACCTTGTTCTACGTGTGTCACCTTGTTCTACATGTGTCACCTTGTTCTCTGTGTCACCTTGTTCTCTGTGTGTCACCTTGTTCTCCGTGTGTCACCTTGTTCTACGTGTGTCACCTTGTTCTACATGTGTCACCTTGTTCTACGTGTGTCACCTTGTTCTACGCGTGTCACCTTGTTCTCCGTGTGGCACCTTGTTCTCCGTGCCACCTTGTTCTCTGTGTGTCACCTTGTTCTCCGTGTGTCACCTTGTTCTCCGTGTGACACCTTGTTCTCCGTGTGACACCTTGTTCTACGCGTGTCACCTTGTTCTCCGTGTCACCTTGTTCTAAGTGTGTCACCTTGTTCTCTGTGTGTCACCTTGTTCTACGTGTCACCTTGTTCTACGTGTCACCTTGTTCTCCGTGTGTCACCTTGTTCTACGTGTGTCACCTTGTTCTCTGTGTGTCACCTTGTTCTCCGTGTCACCTTGTTCTCCGTGTGGCACCTTGTTCTCTGTGTGTCACCTTGTTCTCCGTGTGTCACCTTGTTCTAAGTGTGTCACCTTGTTCTGCACGTGTCACCTTGTTCTACGTGTCACCTTGTTCTACGTGTCACCTTGTTCTCTGTGTGTCACCTTGTTCTCCGCGTGTCACCTTGTTCTCCGCGTGTCACCTTGTTCTCCGTGTGTTACCTTGTTCTACGTGTGTCACCTTGTTCTCCGTGTCACCTTGTTTTCCGTGTCACCTTGTTCTCTGTGTGTCACCTTGTTCTCCGTGTCACCTTGTTCTGTGTGTCACCTTGTTCTACGTGTGTCACCTTGTTCTACATGTGTCACCTTGTTCTCTGTGTCACCTTGTTCTCTGTGTGTCACCTTGTTCTCCGTGTGTCACCTTGTTCTACGTGTGTCACCTTGTTCTACATGTGTCACCTTGTTCTACGTGTGTCACCTTGTTCTACGCGTGTCACCTTGTTCTCCGTGTGACACCTTGTTCTCCGTGCCACCTTGTTCTCTGTGTTTCACCTTGTTCTCCGTGTGTCACCTTGTTCTCCGTGTGACACCTTGTTCTCCGTGTGACACCTTGTTCTACGCGTGTCACCTTGTTCTCCGTGTCACCTTGTTCTAAGTGTGTCACCTTGTTCTCTGTGTGTCACCTTGTTCTACGTGTCACCTTGTTCTACGTGTCACCTTGTTCTCCGTGTGTCACCTTGTTCTACGTGTGTCACCTTGTTCTCTGTGTGTCACCTTGTTCTCCGTGTCACCTTGTTCTCCGTGTGTCACCTTGTTCTCTGTGTGTCACCTTGTTCTCCGTGTGTCACCTTGTTCTCTGTGTGTAACCTTGTTCTCCACGTGTCACCTTGTTCTACGTGTCACCTTGTTCTACGTGTCACCTTGTTCTCTGTGTGTCACCTTGTTCTACGTGTGTCACCTTGTTCTCCGCGTGTCACCTTGTTCTCCGCGTGTCACCTTGTTCTCCGTGTGTTACCTTGTTCTACGTGTGTCACCTTGTTCTACGTGTGTCACCTTGTTCTCCGCGTGTCACCTTGTTCTACGTGTGTCACCTTGTTCTCCGTGTGTCACCTTGTTCTACGTGTCACCTTGTTCTCCGTGTGTCACCTTGTTCTACGTGTGTCACCTTGTTCTACGTGTGTCACCTTGTTCTCCTTGTGTCACCTTGTTCTACGTGTGACACCTTGTTCTCTGTGTGTCACCTTGTTCTACGTGTCACCTTGTTCTCTGTGTGTCACCTTGTTCTCTGTGTGTCACCTTGTTCTCCGCGTGTTACCTTGTTCTAAGTGTCACCTTGTTCTCTGTGTGTCACCTTGTTCTCTGTGTGTCACCTTGTTCTACGTGTGTCACCTTGTTCTACGTGTCACCTTGTTCTCTGTGTGTCAACTTGTTCTACGTGTGTCACCTTGTTCTCTGTGTGTAACCTTGTTCTCCGTGCCACCTTGTTCTCTGTGTGTCACCTTGTTCTCCGTGTCACCTTGTTCTCCGTGTCACCTTGTTCTCTGTGTGTCACCTTGTTCTCCGTGTCACCTTGTTCTCCGTGTCACCTTGTTCTCTGTGTGTCACCTTGTTCTCCGTGTCACCTTGTTCTGTGTGTCACCTTGTTCTACGTGTGTCACTTTGTTCTACATGTGTCACCTTGTTCTCTGTGTCACCTTGTTCTCTGTGTGTCACCTTGTTCTCCGTGTGTCACCTTGTTCTCCGTGTGACACCTTGTTCTCCGTGCCACCTTGTTCTCTGTGTGTCACCTTGTTCTCCGTGTGTCACCTTGTTCTCCGTGTGACACCTTGTTCTCCGTGTGACACCTTGTTCTACGCGTGTCACCTTGTTCTCCGTGTCACCTTGTTCTCCGTGTCACCTTGTTCTCTGTGTGTCACCTTGTTCTCCGTGTCACCTTGTTCTACGTGTCACCTTGTTCTACGTGTGTCACCTTGTTCTCCGCGTGTCACCTTGTTATCCGCGTGTCACCTTGTTCTCTGTGTGTCACCTTGTTCTACGTGTGTCACCTTGTTCTCTGTGTGTCACCTTGTTCTACGTGTGTCACCTTGTTCTACGTGTGTCACCTTGTTCTCTGTGTGTCACCTTGTTCTAAGTGTGTCACCTTGTTCTACGTGTGTCACCTTGTTCTCCGCGTGTCACCTTGTTCTCCGCGTGTCACCTTGTTCTACGCGTGTCACCTTGTTCTCCGCGTGTCACCTTGTTCTCTGTGTGTCACCTTGTTCTCTGTGTGTCACCTTGTTCTACGCGTGTCACCTTGTTCTCCGCGTGTCACCTTGTTCTCCGCGTGTCACCTTGTTCTCTGTGTGTCACCTTGTTCTCTGTGTGTCACCTTGTTCTCCGTGTGTCACCTTGTTCTACGTGTGTCACCTTGTTCTACATGTGACACCTTGTTCTACGTGTGTCACCTTGTTCTCTGTGTGTCACCTTGTTCTCCGTGTCACCTTGTTCTCCGCGTGTCAACTTGTTCTACGTGTGTCACCTTGTTCTCTGTGTGTCACCTTGTTCTCTGTGTGTCACCTTGTTCTCCGTGTGACACCTTGTTCTCCGTGCCACCTTGTTCTCTGTGTGTCACCTTGTTCTCCCTGTGTCACCTTGTTCTCCGTGTGACACCTTGTTCTCCGTGTGACACCTTGTTCTACGCGTGTCACCTTGTTCTCCGTGTCACCTTGTTCTCCGTGTCACCTTGTTCTCCGTGTGTCACTTTGTTCTCCGCGTGTCACCTTGTTCTACGTGTCACCTTGTTCTACGTGTGTCACCTTGTTCTCCGTGTGTCACCTTGTTCTCCGTGTGTCACCTTGTTCTCCGCGTGTCACCTTGTTCTCCGCGTGTCACCTTGTTCTCCGCGTGTCACCTTGTTCTCCGCGTGACGCCGCTGTGCAGGACCAAGACCCCGGTGTGTTCGGGCCGGAGTTTGCCGAGGCGGTGCGCTCGGTGCTGCTGGTGCGCTACACGCTGCTGCCCTTCCTCTACTCGCTCTTCCACGAGACGCACACGCGGGGGGGCACCGTCGTGCGGCCCCTGCTGCACGAGTGAGTCCTCGGTGTGGTGCACAGTGAGTACACAGTGTGGTGTGTAGTGAGTACACAGTGTGGTGCACAGTGAGTACACGGTGCACAGTGAGTCCACGGTGTGTAGTGAGTACACAGTGTGTAGTGAGTCCTCGGTGTGTAGTGAGTCCACAGTGTGGTGCACAGTGAGTCCACGGTGAGGTGTGTAGTGAGTCCTCGGTGTGGTGCACAGTGAGTACACAGTGTGTAGTGTAGTGAGTACACAGTGTGTAGTGAGTCCTCGGTGTGGTGTGTAGTGAGTACACAGTGTGTAGTGAGTACACAGTGTGTAGTGAGTACACAGTGTGGTGTGTAGTGAGTACACAGTGTGTAGTGAGTACACAGTGTGTAGTGAGTACACAGTGTGGTGTGTAGTGAGTACACAGTGTGTAGTGAGTCCTCGGTGTGGTGTGTAGTGAGTCCTCGGGGTGGTGCGTAGTGAGTACACAGTGTGTAGTGAGTACACAGTGTGTAGTGAGTCCTCGGTGTGGTGTGTAGTGAGTCCTCGGTGTGGTGCGTAGTGAGTACACAGTGTGTAGTGAGTACACAGTGTGTAGTGAGTACACAGTGTGGTGTGTAGTGAGTACACGGTGTGTAGTGAGTCCACAGTGTGTAGTGAGTACACGGTGTGTAGTGAGTACACAGTGTGTAGTGAGTCCACAGTGTGTAGTGAGTCCTCGGTGTGGTGCACAGTGAGTACACAGTGTGTAGTGTAGTGAGTACACAGTGTGTAGTGTAGTGAGTACACAGTGTGTAGTGTAGTGAGTACACAGTGTGTAGTGTAGTGAGTACACAGTGTGTAGTGTAGTGAGTACACAGTGTGTAGTGTAGTGAGTACACAGTGTGTAGTGTAGTGAGTACACAGTGTGTAGTGTAGTGAGTACACAGTGTGTAGTGTAGTGAGTACACAGTGTGTAGTGTAGTGAGTACACAGTGTGTAGTGTAGTGAGTACACAGTGTGTAGTGTAGTGAGTACACAGTGTGTAGTGTAGTGAGTACACAGTGTGTAGTGTAGTGAGTACACAGTGTGTAGTGTAGTGAGTACACAGTGTGTAGTGTAGTGAGTACACAGTGTGTAGTGTAGTGAGTACACAGTGTGTAGTGTAGTGAGTACACAGTGTGTAGTGTAGTGAGTACACAGTGTGTAGTGTAGTGAGTACACAGTGTGTAGTGTAGTGAGTACACAGTGTGTAGTGTAGTGAGTACACAGTGTGTAGTGAGTACACAGTGTGTAGTGAGTCCACGGTGTGGTGTGTAGTGAGTCCTCGGTGTGGTGCACAGTGAGTACACGGTGCGTAGTGAGTCCACGGTGTGTAGTGAGTACACGGTGCACAATGAGTCCATGGTGTGGTGTGTAGTGAGTCCATGGTGTGGTGTGTAGTGAGTCCACAGTGTGTAGTGAGTCCACAGTGAGGTGCGTAGTGAGTCCACAGTGTGTAGTGAGTTCACAGTGTGTAGTTAGTCCACAGTGTGTAGTGAGTACACAGTGTGTAGTGAGTACACAGTGCGTAGTGAGTACACAGTGTGTAGTGAGTACACAGTGTGTAGTGAGTACACAGTGTGTAGTTAGTCCACAGTGAGGTGCGTAGTGAGTCCACAGTGTGTAGTGAGTCCACAGTGAGGTGCGTAGTGAGTCCACAGTGTGTAGTGAGTCCACAGTGCGTAGTGAGTCCACAGTGTGTAGTTAGTCCACAGTGTGTAGTGAGTACACAGTGTGTAGTGAGTACACAGTGTGTAGTGAGTACAGAGTGTGTAGTGAGTACACAGTGTGTAGTGAGTACACAGTGTGTAGTGAGTACACAGTGTGTAGTGAGTACACACTGTGTAGTGAGTACAGAGTGAGGTGCGTAGTGAGTCCACGGTGCACAGTGAGTCCATGGTGTGTAGTGAGTCCTCGGTGTGGTGTATAGTGAGTCCACAGTGTGTAGTGAGTCCACAGTGTGTAGTGAATCCACAGTGTGGTGTGTAGTGAGTCCTCGGTGTGGTGCACAGTGAGTCCTCGGTGTGTAGTGAGTCCACAGTGTGTAGTGAGTCCACAGTGTGTAGTGAGTCCACGGTGTGGTGCGTAGTGAGTACACAGTGTGTAGTGAGTACACAGTGCGTAGTGAGTCCTCGGTGTGTAGTGAGTACACAGTGTGTAGTGAGTACACCGTGTGTAGTGAGTCCACGGTGCACAGTGAGTCCACAGTGTGTAGTGAGTCCACAGTGCGTAGTGAGTACACAGTGTGTAGTGAGTCCACAGTGTGTAGTGAGTCCACAGTGCGTAGTGAGTACACGGTGTGTAGTGAGTCCACAGTGTGTAGTGAGTACACAGTGTGTAGTGAGTACACAGTGTGTAGTGAGTCCTCGGTGTGTAGTGAGTACACAGTGTGTAGTGAGTACACAGTGCGTAGTGAGTCCTCGGTGTGTAGTGAGTCCACAGTGCGTAGTGAGTCCACAGTGTGTAGTGAGTCCACGGTGCGTAGTGAGTCCATGGCGCGTAGTGAGTTCACAGTGTGTAGTGAGTCCACAGTGCGTAGTGAGTCCACAGTGTGTTGTGAGTCCACAGTGCGTAGTGAGTCCACGGTGCGTAGTGAGTTCACAGTGTGTAGTGAGTCCACGGTGTGGTGCACAGGTAGTCCACTGCACAGGTAGTCCACAGTCCGCGGTGCGCTGCACAGGTGGAGCCGCACCACACTGCACAGTTTGTGAGTCCTGCACAGCGGCGCGCATTTCAGACGAGAGAGTCGCTACGAGCGTGGCGCCCGTGTGTGGTGTGTGAGGTGTGTGGTGTGGTGTGTGTGGTGTGTGGTGTGGTGTGTGTGGTGTGTGTGGTGTGTGTGGTGTGGTGTGTGTCTGTGTGGTGTGTGTGGTGTGGTGTGTGTGGTGTGTGTGGTGTGGTGTGTGTCTGTGTGGTGTGTGTGGTGTGTGTGTGTGATGTGTGGTATGTGTGTGGTGTGATGTGGCGTGTGGTGTGTGTGGTGTGGTGTGTGTGTATGGTGTGTGTGTGGTGTGTGTGTGGTGTGTGTGTGGTGTGTGTGTGGTGTGTGGTGTGTGTGTGTGGTGTGTGTGTATGGTGTGGTGTGATGTGTGTGTGTGTGGTGTGGTGTGTGTGTGGTGTGGTGTGTGTGTGATGTGGTGTGGTGTGGTGTGATGTGGTGTGGTGTGTGGTGTGATGTGGTGTGTGGTGTGATTGTCTTCTTCTTCCTCCCCCGACGTCGTCCCAGGTTCGTCACGGACGTGCAGACTCACGGCGTCGACCGTGCGTTCCTCTGGGGCCCGGCGCTGATGGTCGCGCCCGTGCTTAGCGAGGTACAAGGGACGTCGCACGGACACGGGGATGAGTGTCTGTGGCATCTTCAAGCAAGTGTCGAAATGATGATGAAGATTTGTTTTATATATATAAATAAGAATAATCTTCAACTACTACCCCGCCCCGCCTGCCCTGACGAGTCCCGTGTGCCTGCCCATGCCGTCCAGAACGTCGCGATGTTGCAATGAACCATGGAGGGAGGATGTGGAATACAACAAGAATGTGCTTGGCCCCTTTCTGGCAATAACACAGGAGACGTTCAGATGTCCAAACACCAAGTAGACGCGGCGATGTGCAAGTCGTCGTGTCTGCATCAGCCGCACATACTTGTGCCAACACATGCACAAAGACCATGCTCAGACAACAATGCACGCATCCTCTTAGAATCTGATTGGCCTCCGCCAGAACAATGCACGCATCCTCTTAGAATCTGATTGGCCTCCGCCAGAACAATGCACGCATCCTCTTAGAATCTGATTGGCCTCCGCCAGAACAATGCACGCATCCTCTTAGAATCTGATTGGCCTCCGCCAGAACAATGCACGCATCCTCTTAGAATCTGATTGGCCTCCGCCAGAACAATGCACGCATCCTCTTAGAATCTGATTGGCCTCCGCCAGAACAATGCACGCATCCTCTTAGAATCTGATTGGCCTCCGCCAGAACAATGCACGCATCCTCTTAGAATCTGATTGGCCTCCGCCAGAACAATGCACGCATCCTCTTAGAATCTGATTGGCCTCCGCCAGAACAATGCATGCATCCTCTTAGAATCTGATTGGCCTCCGCCAGAGACAGCAGCAGCAGTCTTGGTGGCCTCGTCTCGCCACCGGCGTTCGACCAGGGGACGAGATCTGAATTATGTTTTAATATCAATAAGAGCTGCAGATGTAGATGTCACTGGTTCTTCACGTTCTGCAGATGTAGATGCCACTGGTTCTTCATGTTATGCAGATGTAGATGCCACTGGTTCTTCACGTTCTGCAGATGTAGATGCCACTGGTTCTTCACGTTCTTCATATGTAGATGCCACTGGTTCTTCACGTTCTGCAGATGTAGATGCCACTGGTTCTTCACGTTCTGCAGATGTAGATGCCACTGGTTCTTCACGTTCTTCATATGTAGATGCCACTGGTTATTCACGTTCTGCAGATGTAGATGCCACTGGTTCTTCACGTTCTGCAGATGTAGATGCCACTGGTTCTTCACGTTCTTCATATGTAGATGCCACTGGTTCTTCACGTTCTGCAGATGTAGATGCCACTGGTTCTTCACGTTCTGCAGATGTAGATGCCACTGGTTCTTCACGTTCTGCAGATGTAGATGCCACTGGTTCTTCACGTTCTTCATATGTAGATGCCACTGGTTCTTCACGTTCTGCAGATGTAGATGCCACTGGTTCTTCACGTTCTGCAGATGTAGATGCCACTGGTTCTTCACGTTCTGCAGATGTAGATGCCACTGGTTCTTCACGTTCTGCAGATGTAGATGCCACTGGTTCTTCACGTTCTCCACATGTAGATGCCACTGGTTCTTCACGTTCTCCACATGTAGATGCCACCACCGCCATCTATTGCGTGGTGGTTAAACTTACGACTGTCGGTTCGAACAGGCAACTGGACATACGCACAGGTTTGTTCTCTGGAAGTGTGTAAGTCGAATGTTCGTGAGTAGAGGGAGTCCCTGTAATCGTCACTATTGGACGATGTCGCGACATTCATGCTCTGATGTTGGTGGCGTTCGCAGGGCGCCACCACGGTGGAGGTTTACTTCCCGGACGCGCGCTGGTACAGCTACTACACGGTACGGGGCCTGCACCGTGCAGGGGGCTCACTGTGCAGGGGGCTCACAGTGCAGGGGGCTCACCACGCAGGGGGTTCACTGTGCAGGGGGTTCACCGTGCAGGGGGTTCACCACGCAGGGGGTTCACCACGCAGGGGGTTCACAGTGCAGGGGGTTCACAGTGCAGGGGGTTCACCGTGCAGGGGGTTCACAGTGCAGGGGGTTCACCACGCAGGGGGTTCACCACACAGGGGGTTCACAGTGCAAGGGGCTCACCGTGCAGGGGGTTCACTGTGCAGGGGGTTCACAGTGCAGGGGGTTCACCGTGCAGGGGGTTCACAGTGCAGGGGGTTCACCCCGCAGGGGGCTCACTGTGCAGGGGGTTCACCACGCAGGGGGTTCACAGTGCAGGGGGTTCACAGTGCAGGGGGTTCACAGTGCAGGGGGCTCACTGTGCAGGGGGCTCACAGTGCAGGGGGCTCACTGTGCAGGGGGTTCACAGTGCAGGGGGGTCACAGTGCAGGGGGTTCACAGTGCAGGGGGCTCACTGTGCAGGGGGCTCACAGTGCAGGGGGCTCACTGTGCAGGGGGTTCACAGTGCAGGGGGTTCACAGTGCAGGGGGTTCACAGTGCAGGGGGCTCACTGTGCAGGGGGCTCACAGTGCAGGGGGCTCACCCTGCAGGGGGTTCACTGTGCAGGGGGCTCACCACGCAGGGGGCTCACTGTGCAGGGGGCTCACAGTGCAGGGGGCTCACCCTGCAGGGGGTTCACTGTGCAGGGGGCTCACCACGCAGGGGGCTCACTGTGCAGGGGGCTCACAGTGCAGGGGGCTCACCCTGCAGGGGGTTCACTGTGCAGGGGGCTCACCACGCAGGGGGCTCACTGTGCAGGGGGCTCACCACGGATGAAGCAAACGAAACCTCTTCGCCGCTCATCTTGTCAAGGATCATCGCAAACCGTCATCACGTGACACTGCGCTCACCCTCGCCAACAGCGGCGGCGGCGGCGGCGATTGGCTGCTGGCCACTGCCGCTGAACCACGTCACCGTGCGGCGCTTACGGACGCCGCTTCTGCGGCCGTCTGGAACGCTCTCGTCTGTCCGATATTACGAAGCCACTGGGAGCTGTGGTGCACTTTTAAATCGTCGTCGTCATCTAGATGGACAAACGCATTGCTTTGGAACTGCGTGCTGCTGTGTTCAGTTTCGTGTCCTTCCACCCGCACCTCCGATGAGCACGGTCGGCTACGTCCGGAGCGAAATAAGTTTAACACACCGTGGCTTTTTAGCCCTCGCACAAAGGCGGCAAGAACGCATCGCGCGGACCTTTTGGTACGCGCTTCTGCGGCCGTCTGGAACGCTCTCTTCCTTCCGATATGAGGAAGCCAGTGGGAGCTGCGATGCACTTTTAATCAACGTCCAGATTGACATTTGTCTTGAGCTGCTCTTTGTGTTTAGTTTGTTGTCCTTACCTGGCACCTCCGATTAGCGCGGTTGGCTCCGTAGGGTGTATGGAGAATGTTCATCATTGTGCATACAGACAAAGGTCTCCCGTGTAGCCTTTAACAGGCTGCTGGGGCAAGAGCATTGTGTGTGGCCGCTAACTGCACTTGCCCCAGCAGTCTGCCGAAGGCTACCCGGGGGACCTTTGTCTTTGTGTGTGGCCGCTAACCGCACTTGCCCCAGCAGTCTGCCGAAGGCTACCCGGGGGACCTTTGTCTTTGTGTGTGGCCGCTAACCGCACTTGTCCCAGCAGTCAGCCGAAGGCTACCCGGGGGACCTTTGTCTTTGTGTGTGGCCGCTAACCGCACTTGTCCCAGCAGTCTGCCGAAGGCTACCCGGGGGACCTTTGTCTTTGCAGGGAGAGGAGGTGCCCGCGTCGTGGCGCCGCTCGTCGGCCCGCGTCGCCGCGCCCCTGGACCGCATCCCCCTCTTCCTGCGCGGGGGCTTCGTCGTACCCACCCAGGAGCCCGCCAAGACCACCACGCACAGGTGGGGGGCGTGGGGGGGGCGTGGGGGGGGGCGTGGGGGGGGCGTGGGTGGGGGGGGGGCGGGGGGGGTGTGGGGGGGGGGGCGTGGGGGGGGGCGTGGGGGTCACTCATGGGCGAGAACCGCAGTCCCAGTGAGCGAGTTAGTCAGCAAGTGAGCGTGTGAGTCAGTCAGCGAGTGAGTTAGCAAGTGAGCGTGTGAGTTAGTCAGCGAGTGAGTTAGTCAGCGAGTGAGTTAGCAAGTGAGTGTGTGAGTCAGTCAGCGAGTGAGTCAGCGAGTGAGCGTGTGAGTTAGTCAGCGAGTGAGTCAGTCAGCGAGTCAATCAGCGAGTGAGAGTGTGAGTTAGTCAGCGAGTGAGTCAGTGAGTGAGCGTGTGAGTTAGTCAGCGAGTGAGTCAGTGAGTGAGCGTGTGAGTTAGTCAGCGAGTGAGTCAGCGAGTGAGCGTGTGAGTCAGTCAGCGAGTCAGTCAGCGAGTGAGCGTGTGAGTCAGTCAGCGAGTCAGTCAGCGAGTCAGCGTGTGAGTTAGTCAGCGAGTGAGTCAGCGAGTCAGCGTGTTAGTCAGCGAGTGAGCGTGTGAGTCAGTCAGCGAGTGAGCGTGTGAGTCAGTCAGCGAGTCAGTCAGCGAGTGAGCGTGTGAGTTAGTCAGCGAGTCAATCAGCGAGTGAGTCAGTCAGCGAGTGAGTTAGTCAGCGAGTCAGTCAGCGAGTGAGTCAGTCAGCGAGTGAGTCAGTCAGTGAGTCAGTCAGCGAGTGAGTCAGTCAGTGAGTGAGTCAGTCAGCGAGTCAGTCAGCGAGTGAGCGTGAGTCAGTCAGCGAGTCAGTCAGCGAGTCAGTCAGTCAGCGAGTCATTCAGCGAGTGAGCGTGTGAGTTAGTCAGCGAGTGAGCGTGTGAGTTAGTCAGCGAGTCAATCAGCGAGTGAGTCAGTCAGCGAGTCAGTCAGCGAGTGAGCGTGTGAGTTAGTCAGCGAGTGAGCGTGTGAGTTAGTCAGCGAATCAATCAGCGAGTGAGTCAGTCAGCGAGTCATTCAGCGAGTGAGCGTGTGAGTTAGTCAGCGAGTGAGCGTGTGAGTTAGTCAGCGAGTCAATCAGCGAGTGAGTCAGTCAGCGAGTCAGTCAGCGAGTGAGCGTGTGAGTTAGTCAGCGAGTCAATCAGCGAGCGAGTCAGTCAGTTAGCCAGTGAACGTGCGAGTTCGTCAGCGAGTTAGTCAGCGAGTGAGCGTGTGAGTCAGTCAGCGAGTGAGTTAGTCAGTGAGCATGCGATTGAGTCATTCAGCGAGTGAGTGAGTAAGCGAGCGTGTTTGTGAGCCAGCGGCCATGTTGTGTGTTTAGCCGCGTGAACCCGATGGGGCTGATCGTGTCTCTGGACGAGAACCTGGAGGCTCGCGGCTCCCTCTTCTGGGACGACGGCGACTCCATCGGTGAGCACCACACAAAGACAAAGGTTCCCCGTGTGGCCTCTAACACGGTGGCGAGATGTTGACTACATCGCCTGGTATGCAAGAGGTCGTGGGTTCGATCCCAACCCTGACGCCTGCTCTATATTTGGAGTTTGCGTGTCTCTCCACGTGATGATAAGCCACTTCGTTAAGCTGTCATTTGTGATGGCAAAGGGCACTTCTGAAAAAGATCGACATAGCCGCTCAGTGGGCCTTACCTGGTAACATAAAAAAAATATAGTTTCGCTTGTTTCTACTTCCACTAAAACACCCAAAATTTGCAAAGATCGATTCCAGAATTGGGATGCCATTCGATCGATCGGATTGCGTCTGTCTTTGTCTCTATCGTTCCCGTAGCCTGTTGTTGTTGTGTGCCCGAGTTTGTGCGCACGATCAACGAGGCGGTAACGACTGACGAGGCGGTAACGACTGACGAGGTGGTAACGCCTAACGAGGCGGTAACGACCAACGAGGCGGTAACGACTGACGAGGCGGTAACGACTGACGAGGCGGTAACGACTGACGAGGCGGTAACGCCTAACGAGGCGGTAACGACCAACGAGGCGGTAACGACTAACGACTGACGAGGCGGTAACAACTGACGACTGACGAGGCGGTAACGACTGACGAGGCGGTAACGACTAACGACTGACGAGGCGGTAACGACTAACGAGGTGGTAACGACCGACGAGGCGGTAACGACCAACGAGGCGGTAACGACTGACGAGGCGGTAACGACTGACGAGGCGGTAACGACTAACGAGGCGGTAACGACTGACGAGGCGGTAACGACTAACGAGGCGGTAACGACTAACGAGGTGGTAACGACTAACGAGGCGGTAACGACCGACGAGGCGGTAACGACTAACGAGGCGGTAACGACTGACGAGGCGGTAACGACTAACGAGGTGGTAACGACTAACGAGGCGGTAACGACTAACGAGGTGGTATCGACTAACGAGGCGGTAACGACTGACGAGGCGGTAACGACTGACGAGGCGGTAACGACTAACGAGGTGGTAACGACTGACGAGGCGGTAACGACTGACGAGGCGGTAACGACCAACGAGGTGGTAACGACTGACGAGGCGGTAACAACTAACGAGGTGGTAACGCCTAACGACTGACGAGGCGGTAACGACTGACGAGGCGGTAACGACTAACGAGGCGGTAACGACTAACGAGGCGGTAACGACTGACGAGGCGGTAACGACTGACGAGGCGGTAACGACTAACGAGGTGGTAACGACCGACGAGGCGGTAACGACTAACGAGGCGGTAACGACCAACGAGGCGGTAACGACTGACGAGGCGGTAACGACTAACGAGGCGGTAACGACTAACGAGGCGGTAACGACTAACGAGGCGGTAACGACTGACGAGGCGGTAACGACTAACGAGGCGGTAACGACTGACGAGGCGGTAACGACTAACGAGGTGGTAACGACCGACGAGGCGGTAACGACTAACGAGGCGGTAACGACTAACGAGGCGGTAACGACTAACGAGGCGGTAACGACTAACGAGGCGGTAACGACTGATGAGGCGGTAACGACTGACGACTGACGAGGCGGTAACGACTGACGAGGCGGTAACGACCAACGAGGCGGTAACGACTAACGAGGTGGTAACGACTAACGAGGCGGTAACAACTAACGAGGTGGTAACGACTAACGAGGCGGTAACGACTAACGAGGCGGTAACGACTAACGAGGTGGTAACGACTAACGAGGCGGTAACGACTGACGAGGCGGTAACGACTAACGAGGCGGTAACGACTAACGAGGCGGTAACGACTGACGAGGCGGTAACGACTAACAAGGCGGTAACGACCGACGAGGCGGTAACGACTGACGAGGCGGTAACGACTGACGAGGCGGTAACGACTGACGAGGCGGTAACGACTAACGAGGCAGTAACGACTAACGAGGTGGTAACGACTAACGAGGCGATAACGACTAACGAGGCGATAACGACTAACGAGGCGGTAACGACTAACGAGGTGGTAACGACTAACGACTAACGAGGCGGTAACGACTGACGAGGCGGTAACGACTGACGAGGCGGTAACGACTGACGAGGCGGTAACGACTAACGAGGCGATAACGACTAACGAGGCGGTAACGACTGACGAGGTGGTAACGCGTCCCCTCTCTCGCAGGGACCATCGAGAGCGGGAACTTCTTCCTGGCCAGCTTCGCCTTCACGGGCGTGAGTTCCCAACCCGCACCCAGCGCGGCCTCACAGCGCACGTGGCGATCCAGCAATGATGGCGAGGATGGAGATCGTGACGATGGTGGTAGTGAGGATGGGGGTAGTGACGATGGTGACAATTATAGTGAGGATGGTGACGATGGTGGTAGTGACGATGGTGGTAGTGAGGATGGGGGTAGTGACGATGGTGACAATTATAGTGAGGATGGTGACGATGGCGGTAGTGACGATGGTGGTAGTGATGATGGTGGTAGTGAGGATGGGGGTAGTGACGATGGTGGTAGTGACGATGGTGACAATTATAGTGAGGATGGTGACGATGGTGGTAGTGACAATGATGGTAGTGACGATGGCGGTAATGACGATGGCGGTAGTGACGATGGCGGTAGTGACGATGGCGGTAGTGACGATGGTGACAGTGATAGTGAGACAACGACGACATCGCCTGCGCGCGTTCAACCGCGTGCGCACGACAGCGGTGGCATTGCCGGCAATCTCAGCGCCTTTTGACCCTCACCTTTTATTTTTTTTCCTTCCACCCCTCCTGAAAACCACCACCGCCGCCGTCGCACATGGCAGAATCGTCTGACGAGCACGGTGGAGCGCGCCGGCTACGCGGCGGGCCTGGCCTTCCAGACGGTGCGCGTGCTGGGCCTGCGCTCGCCGCCGGCGTCGGGCGGCGTGACCGTCAACGGGAGCCCTCTGCCCCCCTCCGACGTCGCCTTCCAGCCCAGCGGGGTAAACGGCGAGCGCTCCTCGGGCGACATTCGGCGGTTTGCGCCGGTGGCGCGCCGTAGCCAAATAACGTGAAATCAACGGTAGCAATGATTTTACTTTCCCACGATTCGCAAACCTTCCCGGTGAGAAAATCTCGCGGGGAGGTGGCGGTGGCGGCGCCTCAAAACTCAGTTCTGGCGACGTCCAAGCGGGTCGGACGACGGAGGGACTGCACGAGCGGCTGACCCACGACGCAGCTTCGCGCAGTCCCTCGCCGTAGGGCGGCGACCCGCCCCCGAATGGCGAGCGACTGGCTCCGGGTTCCGATAGGGCGAGCGTTCGCGTTCGTGCCCCGAGCCTCGGCCGCACGGTTTCCCCGATTCCTTTCGGGAATCGCCTCCTGGCGGGCGGCGGGCATTCAAAGATTGCTCCTCCTCCTCCTCGGCGTGGTGGTGGTGGTGGTGGCGGCGTCACTGATGCGCTTTCGAACGGGAAAAGGGCCGCTGAATGTTAGTGGCGACTCGTGACGGGAGAGTCCTGGCAGCTCACTCGAGGGGGGCACCGGCGACACCGTGGGGCTCTTTCACGAGGGGCCCGGCGCGCCGTTGTGCTGCGCCAAATTACAGCAAAGATTCCTCTTCGCCCCCCCACCCCCTCCCCCGATTGTCTTAACAATCGAAATCGGTGGTTCGTCATTGGCAGCCCTCCTCCTCCACTCCCCGACAATACAGAGTGAAAACACCCCCCCCATCATCATGCAGCTGTCAAACGCCCCCCCCCCCCCCCCCCCCCGCATGGTTCAAAAATGTGGCGGCCGCGCTCATGCACTGCTGCTGCTGCTGATGTCTTATCGTGAAAAACACCGCTCTCAGTAAATATTGCGGTAGCATTTGTTCTGAAAAATAATTCGGTGGTTACCCTTTGTGGCAATAAAACAGGTGGTCAGATGAAACCGATTGGCCGACGCCAGAGACAGCGGCCTTCTTCATGCCCTCATCTCACCACCGGTGTCACACCCGAGAACAAGGCCAAAAGGTCACGTGATGTCATTTGTCCTGTTCACTCACGTTGTGCTGCTGCTGCTGCCGCCGTCTCCGCAGGAACTCACTCTGAAGATCTCCGTGCCCATCACCACTCCGCTGAACATCGCCATCAACTGAGGCCGACCCCAAATGGCTGGCCGTCGTCTTTCTACCCCCACCGCCGCCCCCCCCACCCCCCTCTCTCCGCCGTGACCTCGTGACTTTGTGACCTCATGACACGACCCGCTGTATCGCCGCTCGCTCGTGGAAATAAAAAAAATTGGTTGAAACGTTAAAGGGAAGGTCGTTTCTTCAAAAAAAAATTCCTTCACAGGCAAATCGTCTCCCCCCGCCTCCGATGAACACGGTTGGCTTGTGTACCGTTGCGAGGTGACGTTCGACGCACGGACACTTGACGAACGGAGGGAACGTGGCAGGCGGCGACGCTGCACGTGGCTCCCTGCAGCAATCCAGCGCTGCCGGGAAAAAGCAATCGAGGGGGTTGGTGGATCACAAACAGATGTAACAAAACTCCCTTCGCAATGGGCATTGATGAGGTGGCATATCCCCGGCTCTGCCAGGAGGATGCAGTGTAGTGCAGTCCAGCAAAAAAGTGGCCTCCCAGCTATTCCCATCTCGATGGGATAGAGCGTTGCCCCTTCACACGCGTGAATTTTTTTCTGGGTGCTCCCGTTTCCTCCCCTCACACGTGAAACCTCATTCATTCGCTGAAAACATAGAGGACCGCAGACCTTGGGAAAGCGTTGGCACCAGCTCCTCACCACTCCTCGTCTGTGGTTCCTCCTTCAAGCACCTCCGAGTCGTCCTCTACGAGAGCGAACCAACTATGTGCGGCAGCGCAGTGTTACAAGTTGACGCTATTACTAATGACAAGTCACGGACTTGCTATTAGTAATAACGGGGTTGAGCGGGGGAAGGGGGGGGTAGTCTTTACTTGACCGTGGTCCAGCGATTTGGAGGGCGAGAGTTGGTAGATCAAGGAGAGATTTGCGAGACTCAGACAGAAGGACCGCTACTGGCCACGTGGCCACGTGGATTTCCCTCCGGATCGTCCGGTTGTCCGCCCCACAATTCGAATCAAAGTGCGCTCATAGGGTACTGCGATACATTTCCACACGATGATGAGAAGACACTTCGTTGAGCTATCGCTTGCGATGGCCAGGGTTGCTTCTGAAAAGAGAGCTACATAGCTCAGTGGGCCTTACCTGGTCAAATAAAATAAAAACTAGTTGAATAGGGCCGTAGTCAGGAGGGGGAGGGGGGAGTGTCCACGCTAAATCACAAACACGGATCACGCAACGCCACGAATCCACGCACAGCGTTTACCCTCGTGAGGAACGCACAACGCCCAGTTTTTTTTTATTGCTTCTCAAAGTGATGTTTAAATATTGCGATCGGTTTGAATATTGCGAGCACGTCCCAGGTCACGCGGTCCCGAGTCCCTGAACCCCTCTCCACCTCCTCCTTCCTCGACGAGCGAGGAGCAGCAAACAGGCAAACGATTCAATCGTCTTTTATTTTAAATCCTTCGCAAAAGCACCGTTAAAATCGGCGGCCGCCCCAAACATAAACTCGGTGCGCGGTCAAAACGGGAGAGTTGAAGCGACGGTATTGTGCGACGCCGCCGGTGCCGCCCCGTGCCGCCCCGTGCCGCCCCGTGTCGCACGCCACCGCACGCGCTACGATTCGGTATTCACAGCATCGTTATTTACTACTACGACTACTACTACCACTACGAGACATTGACAGTCGGTACACCTCCTATCCCACCAAGCGCTCAAATCATTCACGGCGCACTTTGGCGCTTATACATTTTTTTTTTTTACTTTTCCACCGCACAACAGAACCGCGTCAGGGCCGGGCCCGGGTGCGCCGTCCCGGTCTATGTCGGATGGGGCTTGGGGGGGTGGGGGGGGGGGGGGAGGAGCGGCCAGAAGCAACCCGTGCCACGTGGGCCTGGGACGGCTCAGATGTGCCATAGTCAAAAGAGGCGTGCACGTCACGGAGCATCAGCTTCAACTCTTTAAACCCCAGCTACACTGACCGTGTCCGAATCCCTACACCGCCCCCCCCCACACGGCCGAGCCGAGCCAGACACGAGCCACAACTCCCGTTTTGAAACGTGGCCCCACGGGCCTGCCACTTCAAGACTATCCACAAACGGCGTCTTTATCCGTCACCACGGGGCATCTCAGCCGCACTAAAATCGGGTACTGGAGGTGGGGGGGGGTAAATACTTTCACCGTTTTAGAACTTCGGCACGCTCGGCCGCCTCGTTGTAGTCGACCTGCGTGGTCCCGGTACCACCGAAGAGGTCTTAGCGTCAACCAACGCGCGGTTCGCCCGGGCCAGTGGCATTTCAAAACTTCTGTTCAGCCCCCGTCCAAGGGGGAAAGGTTTACACCACCGTGGCAAGCCAGCTGCTGGTCCGCAACGGCTGCTGGTACTACACAGGAGCTGCTGGTTTATAAGAACGACGACAATAAAAAAAAACAATAACGTCAACTTGTAACGCCGCTGCCGCCATCGCCGCACGGCGAACTCGCTCGCTCTCGCACAGAGCGAGAGCGAGGACGACCGAGGAGGCCCCAGAAGCTTTGCAATCACAGACAAGCTGGGAGGTGGGCACGCGATGAGCCGGTGCTGCCAACAATTGCCCAAGCTTTGCGGTGTCCTCTGTGGGTTCAGCTGTTATCGGCCAACTCGTGAGTGTTCACATCAGAAAAACAAGGGTCACACGGACCATTATGATCGACCGTGACAACTTTACACGCGGTAACTGCGCGCGACCAGAGTTGTGCGACCAGAGTTGCGCGTGACCGCGGTTGCGAGTGACCAGAGTTGCGTGCGACCAGAGTTGGTACGCGACCGATCGCCAAGGTGCGGGTGGACTTGGCCTCGGGACAACAAAACCGGCTGTGACACGTGGGAAACGCAGCGGCGGCGGCAGCGGCAGCAGCAGCAGCAAAAAAATGAAATCAACCGAGTCGAGCCTACGCGCGAGACTCGCCATCCCGCGTACAAAGCGCGGCATTCCACGAGGGCTGTCGGCAAAGCGGTCATCTCGAGCGCGTGCTGCAACGTCGTCCAAGGCAGGTTCCGTCGCCGGCGCTCCGTCGCCCAGTTCTCGCGGCGGTCGCCGGCAAGAGAGCGCTGGCGGACGGTCGAAGCGGAGCGCGCACGCGGAGGGGGGAACTCCGAACGCAAGAACGACGTAGGTGCACACACGCACGCACACGCACCGTCCAATACGCGGGAGTCTCCGCTCGCCTCCACGCACGCGGTGGTCGTGGTGGTGCCGCTGATGTCAGTGTGGTGCCGTCAGCGCGTGTCCCCCCCTGCGTGAACAAGACGATCCTTCGCACGGCACTGGGACTCACCTCGGGGTGATCTCTCACGCACAGGGCCGCAGGGAACTAAAAAGGGGGGCCGGCGGCAACGGGACCAGGTTATCCCCTGGGCACTCGGAAAGGGCTGAAGTGGTCTCGCATTGGTAGGTGGTGGCGCTGATGATGTCAGCGGTGATGTCGCCGGCGGTGTTGCGGCGGCGGTGATGATGCTGGCGGTCGTGGTTGGTGGTAGTGGCGGTGCTGATGATGTCAGTGGCAGTGTTGTTAGAGTGGTGGTGTCGGTGCAGTCGGTGGTGGTGCTGTCAGTGCATTAATGGTGGTGGTGCTGCTGCTGATGTCAGTGGCGGTGACTGTGGCGGTAGGGGTTGTAGCATCGCGCGCTCGGGAAGGGCAGGGAGGCTGTGCCCGCGCCGGTCTGCACCAGCCGCGTGCCTCCGCTACCCGGCGAGCTTGCTGGCCATGGCGCCGCTCTTGCGCTGGGGCAGGTCCTGGGGCGTGGGAATGTGGTCGCCAGTCACCTCGCCGCCCTGCTGCGGCAGCTGCTTGTTCTTCATCTTCGCCTTGGCCATGTTGTAGTCTCCGGAGTCAAAGTATTTTTGCTGCAACGGACACATCGATTAATTCACCCGAAAAAGAACGCAAAATAAAATAAAAATAAAACATTGGGTGGCGCGATACGTACTTTGGACTTCTTTCGCACCATACGTAGCCAACCGTGCTAATTGGAGGTGCGGCGGAAGGACAACAAACTCAACTCCAGCAGCAGGTTTTTTATCGAAACGAGTTTTCAATCTAAATGTTTATTTATGAAACTGTTTTCAGACGCGACCATGGCTATCACAAATGATAGTTTAACGAAGTGGCTCATCGTGGTGTGGAAACGTACAGCAGTCGATTCTAAATGTGGAGGGGAAAACCAATGGACTCGGTAGAAAAATCTAACGGTAATTTTCTATTTTATTTTTACCAGGTGAGGCCCACTGAGCTATACAGCTTTTTTTCAAAAGCGACCTGGCCACAAATGATAGCCCAATGAAGTGGCTCATCATCTTGTGGAAACGTATTGCAGCCAAACAACGCGTGATGTCGATTCTAAATGTGGAGGGGAAAACCGGATGACCCAGAGAAAAATCCACACCACTACGGTGAGACAAAGAAGCAAACTCCAAATATACAGCAGCAGCAGCAGGCGTCAGGGTCGGGATCGAACCCACGACCTCCTGTATACCAGGCGAGGTAGTTAACATCTCCAAGCCACCGTGATGATGATGATGACAGAGAGAGACACGCAAACTCCAAATATACAGCAGCAGCATGTGTCAGGGTCGGGATCGAACCCACGACCTCCTGTATACCAGGCGAGGTAGTTAACATCTCCCAGCCACCGTGGCACCACACAGAGCAAGGGGATGGGGGGGGGGCAGCTTGGCAGGTGCCACTCACCCCCTTCTGGAGGCGTTTGCGGAGGAAGTGGGAGCCTCCAGGTTGATGCGGCACGATGTTGGGGTACTTGGCCCTGAGCTTGGCCTCCTCCACCTCCTCCGTCGACTGGGACCGACGCGGCGCAGAAGGAACGGCGGCACGGCACGCGGAGAGACATAGCGAGCAACAATCCGTGAGCCCGCACGCGCGCGTGTGCGCGTGTGATGATGTGGGGAGTGGTACACCGCACTACGAACCCCGCGAGCCGAGTTCCGTTACCGCTCACGGTCAACGATTATCTGAACCGGTCTTGGGCCTCCCTTACGGCGACTGAAATTAGTACCTAGTGTCCAGTATAAATATCACCACTAGGGAGACAAAGGCGGCTGGGCGTGGTGCTGGACACCTACTCCCTCGTGTGCCCCAGTGCTGGCCTTAATAGTTGCTGCTCGCTAACAGCACTTGCCCCAACAGTCTGTTAAGGCTATACGGGGGATCTTTGCGATGACGTCACCGTTACATCACGCGTTACTTTTTCGCTTGCCATCGAACAACGACGGTCACCGCATCACGCGGCGCTTTCCAATGCGCTTTTGCGGCCGTCTGGAACGCTCTGCCTTCCGATATTAGTAAGCCACTGGGAGCTATGCACTTTCAAATCGCCATCGTCTACGTTGACAAACTCATTTCTTTAGAACTGCTGTTCCGGTTTAGTTTGTTGTATGTGTATCGACGACGATCCACATTCACGACGCTTACACAACGCCACCACGGATCGATTTACGACGGCGACGCAGAAACTCGACTTGCGGCGCATCCTCTTCCGACACGACTCCGGAACGCATTTGAACCGAGTCGCTCCGGGCATCCGATGCGACTTGGGAGTGGAGCCTTTGTTATTCTCGGATTTTTTTCACCTCTTAATAGACCCCGTTAAAATTACGGCCGATGATAAAGGAGAATGAATGGACACGAGTCCAACCTCACACGACGAGGGAGCTTCCAGGAACGCATTGCAACGTCGTAGAAGCGGGGACCGCCCGTCTTCGTCAAATTATCGTAATGGCCCTGTTGGAGAATGAACAGCCCTGTTGGAGAATGAACGGCCCTATTGGAGAATGAACGGCCCTACTGGAGAATGAACGGCCCTATTGGAGAATGAACGGTCCTATTGGAGAATGAACAGCCCTATTGGAGAATGAACGGCCCTATTGGAGAATGAACGGCCCTACTGGAGAATGAATGGCCCTACTGGAGAATGAACGGCCCTATTGGAGAATGAACGGCCCTATTGGAGAATGAACGGCCCTATTGGAGAATGAACGGCCCTATTGGAGAATGAACGGCCCTACTGGAGAATGAAAGGCCCTACTGGAGAATGAATGGCCCTATTGGAGAATGAACGGCCCTACTGGAGAATGAACGGCCCTATTGGAGAATGAACGGCCCTATTGGAGAATGAACGGCCCAATTGGAAAATGAACGGCCCTATTGCAGATTGAACGGTCCTATTGGAGAATGAACGGTCCTATTGGAGAATGAACGGCCCTATTGGTGAATGAACGGCCCTATTGGAGAATGAACGGCCCTATTGGAGAATGAACGGCCCTATTGGAGAATGAACGGTCCTATTGGAGAATGAACGGTCCTATTGGAGAATGAACGGCCCTATTGGAGAATGACCGGCCCTATAGGAGAATGAACGGCCCTATTGGAGAATGAACGGCCCTATTGGAGAATGAACGGCCCTACTGGAATTAACAGCCCTATTGGAATTAAATTAACGGCCCTATTGGAGAATGACCGGCCCTATTGGAGAATGACCGGCCCTATTGCAGAATGAACAGCCCTATTGCAGAATGAACGGCCCTATTGGAGAATGAACGGCCCTATTGGAGAATGAACGGCCTTATTGGAATTAAATTAACGGTCCTATTGGAGAATGAACGGCCCTATTGGAGAATGAACGGCCCTATTGGAGAATGAACGGCCCTATTGGAGAATGAACGGCCCTATTGGAGAATGAACGGCCCTATTGGAGAATGAACGGCCCTATTGGAATTAAATTAACGGCCCTATTGGAACGAGCGGGTCTGAATCGAGTGAAGAGGAGACAGGGAAAGCAGCGTGCGTCCGAATGAAGGAGGCGACTAGGAATTCTGGAGGCGGTGGTGGGACCGGGTATATTTAACAGCCGTGGCTGTGGGAGAGCGAGCGGCTCACAGTCGCAAGGTCGCGAGTTGGCTGGGTGCTGATTCGAGCCTCACCACCCCTCACCCTCTGCGGCTCCAAAAATGACAACTCTGAAAATCTTAAGACTTAATTCATCATAGAATAAGAATATTTATTCATACTGGAAGAATCTCATGAGCTGTAAAGCTCTTTGTCACAGATGTCCAGTAAGGGCATGGGGTCAGAACATTACAACAACAACGCAAAATAACGATAGGATCGCAAAGTATAGTAAAGGTAAACAAACCACTTCAAAAATATATACAAATCAAAAATCAAAGTAAGCTATTTTATTTTACCAGGTAAAGCCCCACTTAGCCATTAGCTTCTTTTTCAGGAGCGACTTGGCCACAAGTGATAGCTCAACGAAGTGGCTTATCATCATCGCGTGAACATTTATTGCAGCCAAATAATCATTGAGTTGTACGTATATTGAACTTCTTTCGCACCATACGTTTGTTTTTGCGTTTCCCTTTTGTGTGCGTCTCTGTCTCTCTCTCTCTCTCCCCAGTTTCATCCCCACTGTTGCCATCGGCGTCTCGTCGTCGCGATAAGAAGAATCCATTTGGAAATCTCCCAGCTGCAAGCATGGCCCTCTCGCGTTGCAGAAGGGCGCCCGCAAAGCAGATATGGCAGAGCTACCTGCGAGGTCTCTACTTCAAGTCACTTCTTGGTGCACACAGACTAGCCCGCGGAAGCGGACGATCACAGAGGGCTACCGCCGAGATCCCTTTTGCAATTTTCAAGAGGTGGGGATTTGGTCAAATTGAGTGCGGAGCCAAACATAACGTAATGTGTTTTTGAGAACCCGATTTTAATCACAGCTCAGTCTACGTGAGCCTACGGGTCTCTACGCGAGTTTAAGAATCTGTACGCGAGTCTCTGGTGACCTGGCTGAGACCATCAAATGGCTTAACGCTTGAGAACTGGATATACGCAAGGGCAGAGCCAAAACCTGGATTTAAATCCAGGATCTCGGAATAACCAGCTCAGCACAGCTGAGCCTCTCAGCCACCTATTAAGTTCCCTTCAATTTGTGAGTCTTTGTGCAATTGCCGTCATTGCAAAATCTATTTTTACTTCTTCCAACCTTGTGAGATAGGCGTCCGGGACACAATGGCATGCCTCTCTCGCTTGTTTTGTATCACGCCGACATGTTTCATAGCGGCACCGTCCACTCTGCCCAAAGTGGACGGTAAGTTAAAAGCGCCGTTTTGTTCCAGCCTTTTAAGCTTTGGATAATCCCTCACTGTCTGATAATTCGCTTTTCGCGATCCGAAACAAAAGCATCGACATGTCCACGGGTTTTTGCTGTACACGGGTATATTACTGTATCGTGTCATCCATACTGCGTTCAACCACCACGCAGGTCACAACGACGTAGGTCACAACGACACACTCACCCACCCCCTCACTCATCCACTCACCACACTGCAGGTCAGAACACTTACCCACTCGCTCACCCACCCCCTCACTCATCATACTGCAGATCGCAAAAACACTCCCCCACTCACTACAACGCAGGCCAATACACTCACTCGCCACACTGCAGGTCACGACAAGACTCACTCGCCAACCCACTCACTCGTTCACTCACCTATGAGCACGCTTGGTTACGTACGGTGCCAACAAGTTCAACATTCATGCATACTCTCCCACACTGCAGGTCACAACAACTCACCACACTGTAGGCCACGACAACACTTACTCACCAACCCACTAACCCACCCACTCGTTCACTCACCTATCCACTAACTCCGCCACACTTCAGGTCACCCCACTTCTAATTCCTTTCCTGGCACTGGGGGTCGTAGCTACGGAGTCTGCAGGCCGAGTCAACTTCGCTGGGCCGCCCAATTCCCATATTGAAAACACTCCCATCATCATCATCATCATCGTGCTGCTGTAACACCCTCAATAATTTCAAATGTGTGGTGGCCCTCTCACTGATGATGTCTTATCGGCGAAAGTGCACCCTCCCCCCCCCCCCCCGCAAAATGAGTGACATACACTGTCTTACAATCTTAAATAGTGGCGTTGGCTGCTGGATGCTTGCCATTTTAAGTCTTTGAGCCCAAACGTTACATCTCTTTTTGGAAATCTCAAAATAGAAAAAAAAAACACGACGGATAAATCTTGGAGACGCCGCCGCCGCTCAGCCACGCCGCGGTGGCCACAGCCACGAGCTGGTCGCTCTAGCCCCGGATTACTTCCCCTGCCGTGACATCGACTCCACTCCCGTGCCATCGTCACAGTGGACAAAGGGGGACAGCCACCGCCCCCCCCCCTCAAGGGTTGGGTGGCTCCTATGAGAACGCCGAGCTACGCGGCCCACACGAGAACCGGGCCCCACCGGGCCGGTGTCGAGGCCCGCTGGGGGCCGCGTAAAAGGCGGCCTGCGTTCCAGTGGCCGTGGGAACGCGGCTGCTCCGCCTGACACCACCCCCCACCGCAAGTGACGAGGCTACTGAGCGTGCGGGCGGTAGAACTGCGCCGGGCCTCGCTACGGGCCTACGAAGCTGGGGTGGGGGAAATTAGGCAGCCCCATTTCATTAACGGCACCAGCGGCCACGCCAAACCACACCACGCCACTGATCCACCCTGCAGCCCAACACAAGAGACCACACAGACTCTGGCATTAAATCCAAACTCGCACAGACCACCATACAATTGCATAGAGGCCCATAGACTGTTTAAACAAAAATACCCATAGACTCGCATTTTTATCCCAACAGAGACCCCACAAAAATGCACGCAGACCCATACACAGACTTACATAGAGACCCGTAGCCTTACACAGATCCGTAGAATGACAAAAGCACCCATAGACTTACGTAGCTCTGATTAGCACGATTGGCTACGTACGGTGCGAAAGAAGTTCATACATACATTACACAGCACTCAATGACTGACATAAAAACTTAATCTGACATAGGACCCATAGACATGCAAACAGGCCCATAGACTCAGACCCACAGCCTTACACAGAGATGCAGTCTGACACAGAGACCCCATATTTACACAAAGATCCATAGACTCACACATATAAAGACAAAGATCCCCCGTGAAGCCTTAACAGACTGTTGGGGCAAGTGCTGCTAGCGAGCACCTATGAAGGCCGACACATCACACGCGGGGGTGGGTGGCCAGCACCACGCCCGGCCGCCTTTGTCTCCCCAGTGGCGATGTTTACACAGCGCACCAGGTACTCATGTGTGGCTGCGTCAACCTAGGGGAGGCCCAGGACCGGTTCAGATAATCATCACCGGTGTTGTTCAGCGAGCGGGAATCCAAATAGGGTCGCCGGGTTCGTAGCAGAGCAAGCTAACCACTACACTCCTCCTCACACAGAGACCCATAGACTCACACAGAGACCCATAGACTCACACAGAGACCCATAGACTCACACAGAGACCCATAGACTCACACAGAGACCCGTAGACTCACACAGAGACCCGTAGACTCACACAGAGACCCCGTAGACTCACACACAGACCCATAGACTCACACAGAGGCCCCGTAGACTCACACAGAGACCCGTAGACTCACACAGAGACCCATAGGCTCACACAGAGACCCATAGACTCACACAGTGACCCCGTAGACTCACACAGAGACCCATAGACTCACACAGAGACCCATAGACTCACACAGTGACCCATAGACTCACACAGTGACCCCGTAGACTCACACAGAGACCCATAGACTCACACAGAGACCCCGTAGACTCACACAGACACCCATAGACTCACACAGACACCCGTAGACTCACACAGAGACCCGTAGACTCACACAGTGACCCGTAGACTCACACAGAGACCCGTAGACTCACACAGTGACCCATAGACTCACACAGTGACCCCGCAGACTCACACAGAGACCCATAGACTCACACAGAGACCCCGTAGACTCACACAGACACCCATAGACTCACACAGACACCCCGTTGACTCACAGACACCCATAGACTCACACAGAGACCCATAGACTCACACAGTGACCCATAGACTCACACAGTGACCCCGTAGACTCACACAGAGACCCATAGACTCACACAGAGACCCCGTAGACTCACACAGACACCCATAGACTCACACAGACACCCGTAGACTCACACAGAGACCCGTAGACTCACGCAGTGACCCGTAGACTCACACAGAGACCCGTAGACTCACACAGACACCCATAGACTCACACAGAGACCCCGTTGACTCACAGACACCCATAGACTCACACAGAGACCCGTAGACTCACACAGAGACCCGTAGACTCACACAGTGACCCCGTAGACTCACACAGAGACACCGTAGACTCAAACAGTGACCCATAAACTCACACAGAGACCCATAGACTCACACAGAGACCCCGTAGACTCACACAGACACCCGTAGACTCACACAGAGACCCATAGACTCACACAGAGACCCCGTAGACTCACACAGACACCCATAGACTCACACAGACACCCGTAGACTCACACAGAGACCCGTAGACTTACACAGTGACCCGTAGACTCACACAGAGACCCATAGACTCACACAGACCCCGTTGACTCACAGACACCCATAGACTCACACAGAGACCCGTAGACTCACACAGAGACCCGTAGACTCACACAGAGACCCGTAGACCTCACGTGAGGCGCGTTGGGGTAGCTACGGAGTCTGCAGGGCGAGTCAACTTCGCCGGGCCACCAAATTCCTTGCAGAGCGACCACGATCCGCGCCGCTCGGCCGCGCTTCGGCCCCGCTTGGGCCTCCCCAAGCGCCTCGTTACCTGGCGGGCGGCGGGCGTCGCCTCCTCGGTGCTGGGCTCGACGAAGTCGCGCTCCTCAGGGAACCCAGCCATGGTCTCCACTCCTCCTCCAAGTCTCGCTACGTCTGCCCTCACAACACCACCACCACCATCGCCTCCTGCTCCTCTTCGTCTCTGATGCGGGGGGGCGGTACCGCAATGGAGGGGGCGGAGCTGTAGAGGAGGGGCGGGGCCATAAGAAATGGGGCGTGGCCGTGAGGGAGGGGGTGGGGCTTGGAGGAGGCTCGTGAAGGACGCTGCTGCTACTTCTGGCCAGTTGGGAGGCAGTGGCCCCCCAACACAACAACGGAGGGTGGAGGAGCGACGCTCACAACAACGAGCGGAGCGCCGGGCGGATAAAACGCAGCAAGTTGGCACACAGCGGGGGGCACAGGTGGTGCATCGACCAGTCATCTCAGTCAGTCGACCCATGGCACCTGGGTCTATCCCTTAACCTCGTTTCAACAGCGAGCCTTCGACACTTCACGTGGCCTCAAAGTGCACGTGGCCTGGTACAAGCGCCGTGGTAACGTTACCGACACTTCCAGAGACTACTCTACTTATGAATGAGTTAGGTTCCAGAGGCCTGTTCGTAAGTTGATTTGTTCGTAAGTCCAACTTTACTCCTGTCGATTCCAAACATGTTGCACGGCATGTACACTAAACACGGGGAGTGGCTTTAAAAGTGGTATAATCTCCTGTAGATGTAGATGCCACTGGTTCTTCACGTTCTGCAGATGTAGATGCCGCTGGTTCTTCACGTTCTGCAGATGTAGATGCCGCTGGTTCTTCACATTCTGCAGATGTAGATGCCACTGGTTCTTCACGTTCTGCAGATGTAGATGCCACTGGTTCTTCACGTTCTGCAGATGTAGATGCCACCGCCGCTTACTATTGCGTGGTGGTTGAACTTACGACTTGGTCCGAATAGGCAACTGGACATACGGACAGGTTTGTTCGTATCTCTGAAAGTTCGTAAGTTGAATGTTCGTAAGTAGAGGGGTCCCTGGAGTGTGTTGGTGCTGAGGATGGGGTGGGGCCGTAAGGGAGGGGGCGGGGCTGTGGTAGAAGTTGTTGGAGGAGCGGTGGTGCTACGGTTAGCGCGCTGCGCTACGGACCCGGCGAACCGACCTCGATTCCCGCTTTCGGCCAACACCAACAGCAGTAACGATCATCTGAACCTGTCCTGGGCCTCCCCTAGGTCGACTTAGCCTCAAATGAGTACCTGGTACGGTATGTATAGGCAGGAATTTATGTTCATGACATTTGTACTTTTATACTTTTGGGCCGTCCATAAATGACGTCATGCACCTGGGGGGGGTCACATATTTGTGATGATGTGACGACGGGGGGGGGGGGTGAGAAATGTGACGTCACATCACAATGCGCAACTTTAAATCAATATAGACAACACGTTCTACTTACTCCTTGGTTCTATTGGGTAAAGTCACGTAGGTGAAAATAAAATAACAAAAAATCACGACGGTAAAATGTTTTCTCCTACAACATCAGAGTACAGCGCCACATTAAACACGCACTACAATGACAATAGTTTAAAGCGATTTGAAGCATGATTTATTTATTGGGGGAGGGGGGGCAGAGCTTTGTGATGTCATATTTGAGGGGGGGGGTCTGTCTTTTTGTGACGCCGGGTGACGATGGGGGGGGGGGGGGGGGGGGGTAAAAAATCCTCCAAAATCGAACCCATGACCTCTGGATCGCAAGTCCAGAGTGCATCTGGCCATTCCACCACTGTGGTGGCAACGTGAGATGCTTGTTTTGAGCACACATGTGACATTTTCTCCTATCGAGTGACGGATGTCCACCACCGCCCCCGCCCCAGCTAATTTACGCTGTCTGTCTGTCACGTGTCTGTGTCTCGCTGACCCAAAAAAAAATCTTCAAGCCAACGTTTATGTGATGGGAGGTAACAAGAAACCTTTATTATTATTATCGTTATGTTATAACAGTTAAAAGACGACGCCAAGAGCTGTGCGATTATTTTTTTCCACGCAGAGACGTTGCACATAAACAACAGTTCGTCTCCAATCGTCGTGGCTGCAAAACATTCAGTTGCGCGCAAACGAGTTCCGGCTGACAGCCGAGTCCATGTTCTACCGTGACCGGCAAACCGTTTGTGCAACTCCTGCCCGCAACCGGTTGCAGTTGTTTCTGTTGCGCGACTGCTTGCTCCAGGGCTTGGACGCGGTCTTTAGAATCGGAAGGCCGCTGAGAAAGCGCATGAGGATAAAAGCGCTGCCATTGTTGAATCCGGACGAGAGAGGGCCACATGATGGTGAATCAAAGACTCTCTCTGCCCGTGCGCGACCACGGCTACGAACACCAAATCGTGGACCACGTAACGTCGTCGTCGTCATCATCACACTGCCCCAAATACACAAAGGAAGGGTGGGTAGGTGAGTGGGTGGGTGAGTGGGTGAGTGAGTGGTTGGGTGGGTGAATAAGTGAGTGAGAATGAGTGGTTAGGTGGGTTGGTGGGTGGGTTGGTGGGTGGGTTGGTGGGTGAATGGGTGGGCGAATGAGTGGTTGGGTGGGTGAATAAGTGAGTGAGAATGAGTGGTTAGGTGGGTTGGTGGGTTGGTGGGTGGGTGAATGGGTGGGTGGGCGAATGAGTGGTTGGGTGGGTGAATAAGTGAATGAGTCAATGAGTGCGTGGCTTGGTGGGTGATTGAGTGGGTGGGTGAATGAGTGGGTGGGTGAGTGGGTGGGTGAGTGGGTGGGTGAGTGGGTGGGTAATTGGGTGGGTGAATGAGTGGGTAGGTGAGTGGATGAATAAGGATAAAGTGAATGGATGAGTGTGTGGGTAAGCAAGCAGGTGGGTGGGTGTATCTGCAATCCACCGACTCTCACCAGACAGCAATTGAATGGCTAAATCACCGACAACTGAAATCTTTTACAATAGTTGCTCTTCAAATGGCAGTACGAGATCATCAGCGAGAGCACGAGAACACTGCCAATTTCATCGACAGGGACGCAAAACAATTGAAAACGCATTTCTTTTGAACTGCTTTTTGTGTTTAGTTTGTTGTCTTTAACCCTCGCACCTCCGAATGGCACGGTTGGCTACGTACGGTGGTGCGAACGAAGTTCAACACGTACGTACGCGTGTACAAGCATCGCGGACCTCGGGCTCCCACACGGAGGCGGTGAAATTTCGGGAACGTCGCACCCGATACGACGCGACATCGCGTGGAACGACGACAACGCCGGCGACGCGAGTCAGCCGATGTCAATGTCCGACGGCGGTGACGACGGCGGCGGGCGGATGGTGGACAGGTGCTCCAGCTCGTAGTGTTCGCTGGGCTCGGACTGCCCCTCGGCCTGGCCCGCATCTCGGGCTGCAGCCTTCTTCAGCTGCTTCTGCTCGATGATGTCCTGCAGCTGCCTGTGGGCGTGGGGCGGACGCGCCGTGGGTCCGGCGTCCGGCACAGCCAGGCCCAGCACGTCCTGCACCATGTAGGCCTTGAGCCAGCCGACGAGCGGCGTGCTGCCTGGGCAGTAGTGCGTGCGCTTGTGATAGAACAGCAATCCATCCACCTGCACGGTGGGGTATCGTTATTAGCGTTGTTGTTATTTATTATACTGTATTATTATGATGTAATATGGGCAGTCAACGACTTACACACGGGTTCCATTCCCGAGAGCCGTTCGTGAGTGGAACGGATCGTGAGTCGAAACACAATCACGTACTGTATTTAAATGCATGTAGCGATCGCTGCTCTGAAATGTGTTACGGGGTTCACCAAAGGGAAGCGTCATTAAACTCATAACTAACAAGAGATGTATATTGGCATGTAGCACTGTAAATTGTTCCATGGTTCGGTTCGCAAGTCTGATGGTTAAAAAATGTATATCTTATGGACGCTGGTTCGTAAGTCAGTTTAACACGTAGGCTTTCGCGATCAATACAATTCATAATAAAGGTTTTTGGGTTAGATCGAATAAGTATAAATGTGTCGTAACCCTCCACCACCTGACACAGCCAGTAAGGTTTGTCACATAAACAAAACGTGCCAATTAGTTACGACTTCAGCCCACCGGTTGTGTGTTGGAGAGTAAATCCACGACATTTACACTGGTGGGCTGAAGTAATTGGCACGTTTTATTTACGTGACAAACCTTACTGTGTCGGGCAGTGGAGGATTACGACACATTTATACTTACGCGATCTAACCGAAAAACCTATATTATGGATCGTAAGTGCGGATCTTCACAAGTCGGGCGTTCGTAAGTAGGGTACTGCCTGTGTTATATTCATGTTGATGTTCAGGAGCTGAATGCCCAATGTGGAGGTGCTGCTGTTGCTGCCACGACAAGAAACCTTCAGCAGACAGAGACAGAGTTTGTGTCATTTCCCTGTTCCTCCTCCACTGAAGGAGCGCAGACCACAGTGGGTTTACTCCTGCACTGTGTATGGTCCAGACTTACCTTGCCCATAGACTAGCATTGCACATAAAGACTAAAATGCGCATTGACTTACATTGAACGTAGACTTAACATCGCCAATAGACTAATTTATATTGCACGCACACTTCATTGGCCATCGACAAACATTGCCCATAGGCTATTGTATTCTATTCTTGTGCATGCTGGCAGCAATGTGGTTCAGGAGCTAGATGCCCAATGTGGAGCTGCTGCTGCTGTTGCTGTTGTCGCGACGAGAGAGAAAGAGAGTGTTGTTTAGTTTCGCTGTGGTTTTAAAGGTGTGCAGACTATAACGGTTTCCTGTGTGTGGTCCACGGTTTGGGTTGCATGGCCAGGAAAGCTCAAGACTGCTCGTCAAAAGGGGGCTGCAAAGCAGCATCATCTATGCCACCAAAGACAAAGATCACCCAGCATATCCTTCAACAGACTGTCGGGGCAAGGGCTGTTAGCGAGCACCTATTAAGGCCAGCACGGCGACACGAGGGGGTGGGTGGCCAGCACCAAGCGCCTTTGCCTCCCCAGTGCTGTTTTACACCCTGCGCCAGGTACTCATTAGGAACGGTTCAAACATTCGCCACGAGCGGGAATCGAACTCAGGTCGGCGGGTTTATAGTGCGCGCGGCGCGCTAACCGCTCCTCCACTCCTCCACCTGCTGGCCATCACATCCAGCAGTGGAGTGGTCGCGTGTTACAACGTGACGCCGCGTGTTGGAGGAGGGTAGAGCCGCTACCTCGTAGGGGAACTCGGAGGAGGCCAGTGCTGTCGTCAGGACGTCCGGAGAGCAGGCGAATGACTGCAGACCCACGAAGCGGAACTGAAACGCAACAGCAGCAACAACGATAACTAAAAAACGTATCTATTTTTACTTTGGCAGGTAAAGCTCACTGAGCTATTAGCTCTTGTTCAGAAGCGACGTGCCACAAATGAGAGCTCAACGATGTGGCGTATCATCATCGCGTGGAAATTAATAGCAGCCAAATACTCTAAACGCGTATTGATTCTAAATGCGGAGGGGAAAAAAACGGGGAAAAAAGAGAAGAAGAAAAATCCACGTGACCACGGGGAGAGAGAACATGCAAACTCCAAATACTCAATAGGCGTCATCGGGGTCAGGATCGAACCCACAACCTCCTCCATACCAGGCAAGGGAGATAACATCCCGCCACCACAGCGCCCCGTCAGCGCCAACACGACGAACGCGACAGTGGCAAAAGACGCAGCGCCGCCGCGGCTGTTACCGGGTTGCGCTTGGATGTCTCCGTCACCGCGCCCTCGTCCCGCAGCTTGGACTGGAGCCAGAAAAAGCGGAACTCCGTCTGCAACCCCAAATAAATACATTAATTAATTTACGTTTTCAAGCCGAAAGCCGCAGGTTGACCCCCGTGGCGTCGGGCGTGGAGCCCGATGCCGCGTGAGCGTTGCATTTGAGTGCCTGGTGCCAAGTCGCCCCCCCCCCCCATCACCCCCGAGCAGCCCCCCCCAACCCCCCCATCACGGACTGGGCACAACTGTCACCTCGCAGTCGTAGACAGGATGTGCGCGCCAACACATGACGTCCAGGATGTAATACGTGCGGTCCACCTCGCTGAACACGCAGTCGAGGATGCTGTACTCTGCTCAGCAGAACACATGGGGGCATACGGCACAACGACGCGAATCAGACGACCGCGAGGCCTCGCCTAACGCGCGGCGTTCACACAACACACCTCCGATGAGCACGGTTGGCCTACATACGGTGCAAAAGACGAACATGCATAGCGGTTTCTTTACAACGCGATTCTTCCACGATGGAACAATTTTCTCAAAACGCGGAACACGCGCTACCGTTATAACGTGGAGCGTGCGCTACCATTATAACGTGGAACGCGCACACCAGTGCAGGTGAGAGGCTCTCACCTTTGTGTTGTCCGTGGCGACCGCCAGGAAGCAGCGACGAAAATCGATTCACGCAGTAGCCGCTCTTGGTGTACACCGCCGTGCTCCCCTGCGCAAAACAACAACAACACAGCAGCGCCACCGCCAGTCGCCGTTGCGCTCCTGTCCGCATCTCCCACGCGTCCGCCCGCACGCACGACGAGTCCTCACTTAACACGCCTCCGATTGGCATGGTTGGCTACGTACGTTGCGAAGTCCAACGTACGTACGTACGTATCGCGCCACCCAATGTTTTTTTAAATTTTGTTTCGGGTGTAATTATCAATTTATCCGTTACAGCAAAAATACTTTGACTACGGAGATTACAACATGGCCAAGGCCAAGATGAAGAACAAGCAGCTGCCACAGCCAGGTGACGCCGTGGCTGGCGACCACATTCCCACCTGCCCCAGCGAAAGAGTGGCACCATGGCCAGCAAGCTCGCCGGGTAGAGGAGCGACGAGGCTGACGCAGACCGACGCGCCCAAAGCCTCCCTTGCCCTTCCCGAATGCGCGCTACAACCCCTACCGCCACCACCACCATCACCTACTTCACCGACACCACCACCAGCGCAATACTGCCACTGACAACACGACACTCATATCAGCAACACCACCACTACCACCATTAATACACTGACAGCACCACCACCTACTTTCGCCGAAACCACCATTGCCGCAACACTGCCGGTGTTCACACTACAACGCATTTTTTTAATGACACGGACCTTCCATTCGGGAACACTTTTCGCGCAAATGTGCAATGTGCCTGACACGACCGCTGGCACGGCTCTTCGGGCGTGCCAGTGGAGAAAGAGCTACACGTGGTCACACCAGCAGCTGCTAGTCCGGCGCCAGCTTACCCGTGACGCCACGACGAGACAGCGCTTGCCCACAGGGCACACGAGCATGAGCCACTCCTCGCACAGGTCCGCCGGCACCTCCACCAACCACTCCGACAACATCAGCTGCACAAAAGCACCAAGGACAAAGGTCAACACGTGTAGCCTTTCAATAGACTGTTAGGGCAAGTGCTGCTAGCGAGCAGCACCTACGAAGGCCGGCACGGCACCGCACGAGGGGTTGGTGTGGTCAGGCTGAGTCGACCTGGGGAGGTCAGGACTGGCTCAGATAATCATTACTGGTGTGGCCTTGAGCGGGATTCGAACTCGGGTCGCCGTGTTTGTAGTGCAGTGCACTAACTGCAACACTACCGCTCCCCAAACACAAAGATCCCCCGTATAGACTGAACAGACTGCTGGGACAAGTACTGTTAGCAAGCACCTATGCAGGTCGGCATGGCACAGCAGCAACGGAGCCGCCAAATAATCTGAGTTGAGTGCGGCCTCCAAAGCAGGTGTGGGCCTCACCTGGTTGGCGTAGGACCGCGACAGCTTCCTGTGCTTCATGTCCACCTCCATGTCGTCTTCACTCCCCTCTTCTGCATCTTCCTTCTTCGGTGCTTCCCGCGCATTCTTACCCCGAGCCTTCGGCGCCGCGTCCCCCACGCCCGCCCAGTCCTCCATCGCCAGGCGCCGAGCATGATTGACATAGTCCAACCTCTTCCTGAAACGACAAGAGACGTCACCTGGAGGTTGACGATGCATGCCCGAAGACCCAAGTTTTAACTTCTGAGCCTGCATGATCATAATAATTATTATAATAACGATCTCCGCCTATGCAGTAGTCCCTCGGTTAAGAACGACACCGGTTAACGGTTTTTCAGCTAACGTTTCGTCTCCCATACGACCCCATGGTTTCGACTAACGTTAATATTTAGATTCACGGTATGTTTACGTAATGCACTCGGGTACCAATTTCGGCCAATTCGAGTGCTCGTAAGTGGGCTGAGCATGCCCACAGCCAATCAGTGATGCACCATTTATGAGCGTCGAGACCTTGACTGGCTTGGCTTGTATTATGTTTTCTGTTTTGGCAGTAGAAACAGCTCTCTTGCAGACTCAGTGATTTTTACTTATTTTTCAACTTATAAGTGAATTCGATTAACAGTTATTTCGGTAAACAGTAGTTTCCGTGGAACGGATTAAAAACGTTAACCAAGGGACGACTGTATATACAGCGTTGCTTAAATTCCTCGGGGAGTCGAAGCGCCTTACGTCTAGTATCGGACATTCTAAGGGCACCCCCCTGTGCACCTAGCCTGGCACAGGAGCTGCGGTGACGTGGCGAACGGTGGCGGTTGTTGTTGTTTGTTGTTGTTTACACACTGCTCATTTACGATTTCTGCAGCTCCAGAAGCTTTTGTCGGCGCTCGTTCTGACTCTGGCTGCTGCAGCGCTGCTTGTACTGAGCCAGGCGCGGGTGCGGAGCGGCCGTGCTGTTGGGAGACGACGTCACGGCCATCGAGCCGGCCAGCGCGTCCACCAGCTCCTCCATGGCCTGCGAGACGCACGGCACCAGTGGGATCACAACATGTGCGAAGAGTGCAACAGCATGCACGCGGCACACCACCGTCATCACAAACGGCGCCGCCGCCACCACCACTGTCATCATCTTAACCACCATTACCACCACCATCATCTGCATCACCACCACCATCATCTGCACCACCGTCATCTGCACCATCACCACCGTCATCTGAACCTGTACCACCATCACCAGTCATCTGCACCACCACCACTATCATCTGTACCACCACCATCATCATCTGCATCACCATCATCTGCACCGCTGCCATCATATGCACCACCACCACCGTCATCTGTACCACCACCATCGTCATCTGCACCTGCACCACAGTCATCTGCACCACCACCACCGTCATATGCACCACCACCACCGTCATCTGCACTACCAACACCATTACCACCACCAGCATCATCTTCCCCATTCCCATCATCTTCTCTACCAGCATGATATTCACCACCACCACCATCATCATCCATACCACGACCATCATCATCTTCACCATCACTATCTATCCACCAAAGACAAAGATCACTCTTATAATAGGCTTAAGACCCCAAATATCCAGCAGCAGGCATCGTCAGGATCGGGATTGAACCCACGACCTCGTGCTGGCCAAGGTGGGAGCTGTTTGGCTGCGTTCGTCTCTGGAGACCACGGTGGTTAGATGTTAACTACCTCGCCTGGTGTACAGGAGGTCGTGGTGTGTGCGTCTCTCTCATCATCACGGTGGCTAGGAGATGTTAACTACCTCGCCTGGTGTACAGGAGGTCGTGGTGTGTGCGTCTCTCTCATCATCATCACGGTGGCTAGGAGATGTTAACTACCTCGCCTGGTGTACAGGAGGTCTGTGTCTCTCTCTCATCATCACGGTGTCTATAAGATGTTAACTACCTCGCCTGGTGTACAGGAGGTCGTGGTGTGCGTCTCTCTCATCATCATCACGGTGGCTAGATGTTAACTACCTCGCCTGGTATACAGGAGGTCGTGGTGTGTACGTCTCTCTCATCATCATCACGGTGGCTAGGAGATGTTAACTACCTCGCCTGGTATACAGGAGGTCGTGGGTTCGACCCTGACGATGCCTGCTGCTGTAGATTTGGAGTTTTACGTCTCTCTCTCCGAGTGGCCGCGTGGATTTTTCTCAAGGATCCTCCAGTTTTTTCCCTCGACATTTAGAAACAAACATCACGCGTTTGGAGTATTTGCTATAAATTTCAACATAAGCCAGCCACTTCGTTTCGCGGTCATTTGTGGCCAGGTCACTTCTGAAAAGGAGCTATTGAGCTCAGTGGCGCCTAACCTGACAACATAAAAATATACAGTACAGTAGTTTAACATGCATTTAGAGTATTTGGTTGCTATAAATTTCAACATAAGCAACTTCGCTGAGCTATCGTTGTGACTGCCAGGTCGCTTATAGAAAAAAAAAAGCTACACAGCTCAGTACGCCTTACACCTGGTAAAATGAAACTGTTTAGATTTAAACATTTGTATTTGAATGTTACAATAACGCGATACCCACCGCTCAGCCTTCAACAACGGCGAGGCTCGGGCGCAGGAGCGAGGCAATCGGCAAACCCCAAGAGGCGTGAGGAGACGGAACGCGGCTCCGAGCCCCAACTCACTCAGGACGTCTGCGCAAAAGCAAACTAAAGAGCTTCACAGCTCTTCGGATCCCTCCGGCACAACTCCAGATTCTGATTCACTTCCACGCGCGTGCGTTCTCCTCAGTGTTCAACGCCGCCGGGACCATCGCCGGGGTGCGTCGGTTGATGCCGGAAGGCGGCCATCTTACCTAGGGGTAGTGGGGGGGAGGCGAGGCCCCGCGTGTGCTGCGTTACGTCATCGAGACACGACGACGTAAAGAAAAAAGGGCGGGAAATCGCGAGGCCGCCCGAAACCTCCTCCGGGCCTACCCTCTCCCAATATGGCCGCCGGTCGCTGGCGTGACGATTTGACCTTGTGTGACGTCACACCGTCGCGCCCCACCCCCCCCAACTCTCGGCGTCGTTTCCAGTCCGAGGCGAAGGCGCGCGTCGACCTGAAGAGGTCTGTGGCGTGAACGCTGACGACGTGGTGAGACGAGGTGCTGAGACGAGGTGGAGTCGGGGTGCGACGAGGAGGAGGGACGAGGCGTAGTCGGGGTGAGTAGGCGCGAGGTGGTGGGGTCTGGGTGAGTAGGCGCGAGGTGGTGGGGTCTGGGTGAGGAGGAGCGAGGTGGTGGGGGTCTGGGTGAGGAGGAGCGAGGTGGTGGGGTCTGGGTGAGGAGGAGCGAGGTGGTGGTGACGATATCGCCCTGTGGGCCAGGCGTTGTTGCTGGTTGTTGGTGATGCTGCTCTCTATTATATTATTGCTTGTGGGAGTGATGCTCCAGTTTGTCGCCGCTACTTGGTGGTGCAGGTCGGAGGATGGAGGATCGCTGGGGAGGCTGCGTGGTCTCTCTGAACTGCGGGCCCGTGTTGGGCGTCTACCAGGGCCGCGTGAGCCGCGTGGACCAGCAATGCCAGAGCATCTCGCTTGTGCAGCCGTTCCGCAACGGCGCGCGCTGCACCGTGCCAGAGCTCACCCTCAGGTGCTGCTCACACGCACGCACGCAGAGAACAGATCTGGGAGCCAGAGAACAGATCTGGGAGCCAGAGAACAGATCTGGGAGCCAGAGAACAGATCTGGGAGCCAGAGAACAGATCTGGGAGCCAGAGAGCAGATCTGGGAGCCAGAGAACAGATCTGGGAGCCAGAGAACAGATCTGGGAGCCAGAGAACAGATCTGGGAACTAGAGCCAGATCTGGGAGCCAGAGAGCAGATCTGGGAGCCAGAGAACAGATCTGGGAGCCAGAGAACAGATCTGGGAGCTAGAGACCAGATCTGGGAGCCAGAGAGCAGATCTGGGAGCCAGAGAACAGATCTGGGAGCCAGTGAACAGATCTGGGAGCCAGAACAGATCTGGGAGCCAGAGAGCAGATCTGGGAGCCAGAGAATAGATCTGGGAGCCAGAGAACAGATCTGGGAGCCAGAGAACAGATCTGGGAGCCAGAGAACAGATCTGGGAGCCAGAGAACAGATCTGGGAGCCAGAGAACAGATCTGGGAGCCAGAGAACAGATCTGGGAGCCAGAGAGCACATCTGGGAGCCAGAGAACAGATCTGGGAGCCAGAGAACAGATCTGGGAGCCAGAGAACAGATCTGGGAGCCAGAGAGCAGATATGGGAGCCAGAGAACAGATCTGGGAGCCAGAGAGCAGATCTGGGAGCCAGAGAACAGATCTGGGTGCCAGAGAACAGATCTGGGTGCCAGAGAACAGATTTTAGAATCAGAATAAATATTTAGACTGTCGGAGGAATCCAATGAGCTATGATGCTCTTTTACACAGATGTCCAGTACGGGTGGGTCAGCAAGTTACAACAACAAACAATACACACACAAAACGATAGGAGTGGAACATAAAAATAAAGGTATGCAAGGCACTGAATATATATCTTTCTCTACATCAGATGAAGCCTCCAGTAAATCACGTGACTTCTGTGTGGCCCGCCCCCTCCTACTCTGAATCCCTCCCTGTGCAGCTCATTTCTGCTCCCTCCTTCCTTCTCTCTCTTCCCTCTCGTCATCATCATCACCACCGTCACCACCTCCCTTCCCTGCGCATCTACATCATACCCTTGACTCTACTCACCTTTCTGTGGTGTGACACAGGTAACAACAACAAAAAATTCATCGCAGGATAAGCGCCACACAACTGGGGCCCCGTGTCTGTAATGAAGGGCTCGGGTGTCTTTTTTTCTACCCCCGCAGTGCGACGGATATCAAGGAGCTGAAGATCTTGGAGCTGCCGCCTGAGCCTGCGAGCTTCCAGCACACGCAGATGCTGGTTGACAACGGAACAGCACCTGTGGCGATGACCAATGGTGCCCAGTCGGCCTCTCACCCTATTGCCAGGTACCACGCGTTAACCCCAGTGTAGCATTAACAGACTGTTAGGACAAATGCTCTTAGCGAACACCTACGAAGGCCGGCAAAGCACACGAGCGAGTGGGTGGGCAGCACCGCGGCCGGCCGCCTTTGTTTCCCCGCAGTGGCGATGTTTGCACATCGCATCAGGTACCAATTTTGAGGCCGAGTCGACCTAGGGGAGGCCTAGGACCGCTTCAGATAATTGTCACTGACGTTGGCTGCGAGCGGGAATTGAACTCGGGTCGCCGGGTTCATGGCGCAGCCCGCTGACCGCTGCGCTACCGCTCCCCTAAATTCGCATTAATCACAAAACAACGCAAAGACACACATGCCCAGCACATGCTGTTATGACATTGTTCTTGTAACCAGACCACCTGTTTAAATGAAACCAAGCCCAAATATTTCAGCTCAGCGATTAATATTTACTGAGATACAGCCTCTTGTTTTTAAGCTGCAGAGTTAAGGGGGGAGGAAAGTGGGCAAAAATGTTGGTGTGTCCCAACTTTTGAGCATGTTGCACGCTGCAGAGGTTCGAGGCCATTATAGTTAATGAACGTCAGAATATCATCCATAAGAGGTTTTTTGGGTTGGATCGCGTAAATATATGTGTCGTTAAAACCCACCACCACCCGACACAACCATCTGCTTCTTTTGAGGATCTGAGAGTGGTATTTATAATGACAAAAGTTTCCATTCCTCCTTGTGCTGAGCATACATTAAGGAGCCGCACCTCCGATTAGCACGGTTGGCTTCGTATGGTGCGAACGAAGTTCAATAGGTACATAAATGAGCTCATGACTCTAGCTTTCACTCTCTCTGACTGGGCCCTCTCGCTCTCTCTGACTGGGCCCTCTCGCTCTCTCTGACTGGGCCCTCTCGCCGTCTCTGACCGGGCCCTCTCACTGTCTCTGACTGGGCCCTCTCACTGTCTCTGACTGGGCCCTCTCACTGTCTCTGACTGGGCCCTCTCGCTGTCTCTGACCGGGCCCTCTCGCTGTCTCTGACTGGGCCCTCTCACTGTCTCTGACCAGGCCCTCTCGCTCTCTCTGACTGGGCCCTCTCGCTGTCTCTGACTGGGCCCTGTCGCTGTCTCTGACTGGGCCCTCTCACTGTCTCTGACTGGGCCCTCTCGCTGTCTCTGACTGGGCCCTCTCACCATCTCTGACTGGGCCCTCTCACTGTCTCTGACTGGGCCCTGTCGCTCTCTCTGACTGGGCCCTCTCGCTGTCTCTAACTGGGCCCTCTCACTGTCTCTGACTGGGGCCTCTCACTGTCTCTGACTGGGCCCTCTCACTGTCTCTGACTGGACCCTCTCACTGTCTCTGACTGGGCCCTCTCACTGTCTCTGACTGGGCCCTCTCGCCGTCTCTGACTGGGCCCTCTCGCTGTCTCTGACTGGGGCCTCTCGCCGTCTCTGACTGGGCCCTCTCACCGTCTCTGACTGGGCCCTCTCACTGTCTCTGACTGGGCCCTCTCACTGTCTCTGACTGGGCCCTCTCACTGTCTCTGACTGGGCCCTCTCACTGTCTCTGACTGGGCCCTCTCGCTGTCTCTGACTGGGCCCTCTCGCTGTCTCTGACTGGGCCCTCTCACCGTCTCTGACTGGGCCCTCTCACCATCTCTGACTGGGCCCTCTCACCATCTCTGACTGGGCCCTCTCGCTGTCTCTGACCGAGCCATCTCGCTGTACCCGCGATGCCGTGACGCAGGCGAGGGGAGCGGGAGGCCGAGGCCGCCGATTCCTCATCGCAGCAGCAACAGCAGCAGCAGCCGCCATCCTCGCGTGCCCACACAGATGTGCCGGGCTCGACACCCTCCAAGGGGTTCCGCCGCCGACACAACTCCTGTGAGAGCCTTCGCTCACTCGCGCTGCACTGCACACAGTCGGCGTGAATGCGGGAGACGCCGCGGTGGCTAGGAGATGTTAACTCCCTCGCCTGATATACAGGAGGTCGTGGGTTCGATCCCGACCCTGACGCCTGTTATATATTTGGAGTTTGCGTGTTCTCCCCGTGGTCGTGTGGATTTTTCTCCGGGTTTTCCCTCCACATTTAGAATCAACATGTGTTTATAAAGTATTTGACTACAAAAAGTTTCCACATGATGATAAGCCACTTCATTTGTGGCCAGGTCGCTTCTGAAAAAGAGAGACATAACTGAGTGGTAAAATAAAAAATTGTTTATCGTAATGGTCAGCAGCACACTGGACATGCAACGCAGAGCTCGCGGTACGCCAATTAAAACACTTGACCACATTTCTTAAATCTCTCCCCACCGCCTCTGTTCACACAACAACAATACACCGTGGTTAAGTCGATCTGGCAGTGTCGCGCGCGGTGTGGTAAAACGTGGGTACGGTCCACCTCCTCCGATACGTCCGGTAGGTATGGTGGACTAGGCTAATGCACCGGCTCGGGGTTCACTTGAGTGGAGTCCCTTCCACCTCCACACTTTTTATTATTTATTACAACTACACGCAAGCGTCGATGCAAAGTGCCGATCACCGAACGGAGGAGTGGAGGGGGGAAAACCATTGGCGGGGACGAGGAGCGTTTACACGGGGGAGGGGAGAAGGGTAAGTGGGAAGATACCGAACATACTGGGGGGGGGGGCAAGGGGACAGGGGGGAGGAGGAGGGGAAGGGGGGGGGGGGACCGGGGTTGGGGGCAGGAGGACACCTCCGCACCTTAATCTTTTTACGAACCATGATGCTTTTTTGGGGGTTGAATATAAATGTGTCATTGAACCCGCCACCACCCGACACAGCCAACTAGTAAGGGGTTTGTCACGTCAACAGAACGTGCCAATTGGTTACTCTTCCAGCACCACCGGTGTGTTGGAGAGTAAACCCACAACATTTACAATTCGAGTATGACGTTTCGCCAGTGATTACAACCAGCATCATCGGGCGATAGCCAGAATTGTGGATAAATCCTCCTCCTGTTTCGGTCTTAAATAAAAAAAAAAGGTGATGTCATCGCTGTGGGCCTTTGATCAGGTGCGAAGACCAGAGTCGGGAGGGGGGGGGGGGGGGGGTTTCTTGCAGTCTGAGAATATTTCATACCCATTATTACTCGGGTTAGTTGGCTTATTAGTTATTCACAGTTTTTATCGACCGCGAGCGACGGCCGTCGCGCACCGACGGCTCGGCGTCGAGTCGTGACCGGGAACGCGAGGGGCGACGCTCCGCGTGCGGCAGGGTCGTCGAGCAACCGGCAGGCGCTGATGGGCACGACCCCAAAGCGCAACGCCGGCGGCCGCGGCGGCGGTGCCGGCCCCGCCGCCGGCGGACGGCGCTCCGGGCGCGACGAGGACTGCTTCGCCGACGACCTCGACGACCTCCTCGACACGGAGTTCGACTTCGAGAAGAACCTCGCGCTGTTCGACAAGGCCGCCGTCTTCCAGGTGCCGGAGCCGCGTGCCGGGCCGCCGAGCTAAGCGGCCGTTTGAGCCTGGGCAGCGCGTGGAGGGGCGGCCACCGCGGGTGGAATGAATTGGGGTCCTTTGCAAGGCTTCGTCGCTACGCGCCTCCGGCTGCCTTGGTTGGCTACGCACGGCGCGAAAGACGTTAAATATACATGCGTACGTGTGAAGTGAGCAGCAGAGAGCCAGTGCAGTCGCCTGCTCCCCTCCGTTATGTATAAATGGTGCGTGCCGCACTGCGAGTCGGTGGTTTACACTCGCGTTCGTCTATGAAGAGCTGTGGTGCAGCGGTTAGCGCGCGCTGCATTAGGTATGTATGTTGAACTTATTTTGCACCGTCCGTAGCTAACCGTGCTGCCCACACCACCCGCTCGTGCTCCGTGCCTGCCTTCACACAGGTGCAGCTTGCTGACAGTTCTTGCCCCAACAGCCTGTTAGAGGCTATACGTTGATCTCGTGTCTTTGTGTGTGGTCGCGTAGCGGTTAGAGCATCGTGCTATGAACCCGGTGCTGGCCACACCACCCGCTCGTGCCGTGCCGGCCTTCACACGTCCTACTGAACGTCATTGAAGAAGACCTTTGTAGCTCATCGGATTCCTCCGGCATAAAAAAAAAAATATTCTGATTCTGCAACTCGCGAACGGCACTTGCCCCAAGGGCGCGTTAGGAGGCTGTACGGTGACGCCCGAGTTCGATTCCCGCTCACGGCCAACGCCTGTGACGATTATCTGAACCGGTCCTCTGCCTGCAGGAAATCGAGATGCACCATGGCGGAGGAGGGCCAGCGAGCGTGCAGTCCAACGGGGCGGCGGCGCGCACTCGCGGCACCCCGCCCGCCGACACGCAGAAGTACAGGCACGACGAGAACGTACTGGCGGCGGCTCCCAGCGAGTTCCACAGGATCGACGTGCCCCAGCCGGGGCCCAAGCTGTACTGCACAGGTGTGCACCGCGCGCAAAGACACACGCGTACGCGCAGGAACACTCCCCCCACGCCGTGTAGCCTTGACACGATGGACATCCCACGGCCTGCAGCCACATGGTGTGACGACAACAACGTAAACACAAACACCACCACCAGCACGGCGCGGTAACTGCTACACTACCGCTCCCCGCACACACTCGTACACGGGCACACATGGACACTCGCACGCGCCAATACCTGGTCCAGTGTGTAAACATCGCCACTGGGGAGACAGAGGCGGCCGGGTGTGCCGTTGGCCACCCACCCCCTCGTGTGCCGTGCCGGCCTTCATAAGTGTTGCTCGCGAACGGCCTTTGCCCGAGAGTCTGTTAAGGCTATAGAGGGGATCTTTGTCTTTGTACCCACGTGTGCGTGCGTGCGCGCTGAGACACGGGGATGGTGGTGCCCAGCGTGAGCCCAGCGCTGCACCGGCAGCTCTTGGGAGCGGCGGAGCGAGCGGGGCTCACGGCGGAGCGGCGCCGCGACGTGCTGGGGGTGTGCGCCACGCAGATGGCGCTGTCCCTGCTCGGGGGCTCCAACCGGTGCGCTCGCTCACACACTCACACGCTCGCTCACACATTCACACGCACGCTCACACACTCACACGCTCGCTCACTAACACGCTCGCTCACACTCACACACACGCTCGCTTACACACTCAAACGCTCGCTTGCTAACACACTCGCTCACACACTCACACGCTCGCTTGCTAACACACTCGCTCACACACTCACACGCTCGCTCACACGCTCGCTCGCTAACACGCTCGCTCGCACACTCACACGCTCGCTTGCTAACACGCTCGCTCACACACACGCTCACACACACACTCGCACGTTCGCTCACACACTCACGCTCGCTCACACACTCACACGCTCGCTCACACACTCACACGCTCGCACACTCACACGCTCGCTCACACACTCACACGCTCGCACACACACACGCTCGCTCACACACTCACACGCTCGCTCACACACTCACACGCTCGCTCACACACTCACACGCTCGCTCACACACACGCTCACACACACACTCACACGCTCGCTCACACACTCACACGCTCGCTCACACACTCACACGCTCGCTCACACATTCACACGCTCGCTCACACACTCATACGCTCGCTCAGACACTCACACGCTCGCTCACACACTCATACGCTCGCTCACACACTCACACGCTCGCTCACACACTCACACGCTCACACACACACTCACACGCTCGCTCACACACTCGCTCGCTAACACGCTCGCTCACACACTCACATGCTTGCTCGCTAACACGCTCGCTTGCTAACACGCTCGCTCACACACACGCTCGCTCACACACTCACACGCTCGCTTGCTAACACGCTCGCTCACAAACTCACACGCTCGCTCGCTCACACGCTCGCTCGCTAACACGCTCGCTCACACACTCACAGGCTCGCTTGCTAACACGCTCGCTCACACACTCACACACACGCTCGCTTACACACTCAAACGCTCGCTTGCTAACACACTCGCTCACACGCTCGCTTGCTAACACGCTCGCTTGCTAACACACTCGCTCACACACTCACACGCTCGCTCACACGCTCGCTCGCTAACACGCTCGCTCGCACACTCACACGCTCGCTTGCTAACACGCTCGCTTGCTAACACGCTCGCTTGCTAACACGCTCGCTCACACACTCATATGCTCGCTTCCTAACACGTTCGCTTACTAACACGCTCGCTCACACACTCACATGCTCACTCACACACTCACACGCTCGCTCACACACTCACACGCTCGCTAACACACTCACATGCTCACTCACACACTCACACGCTCGCTCACACACTCACACGCTCACTTGCTAACACGCTCGCTCCCACACTCACATGCTCGCTCACACACTAACACGCTCGCTCACACACTCACACGCTCGCTAACACACTCACATGCTCACTCACACACTCACATGCTCGCTAACACACTCACACGCTCACTCACACACTCACATGCCCGCTAACACACTCACACGCTCGCTCGCTAACACGCACACTCCCATGCTCACACACCTACTCGCACACTCAAACACTCACGCTTACTAACACACTCGCACGCTCGCACACTCAAACACTCACATGCTCACTAACACACTCACACGCTCACTAACACACTCACACGTTCACTAACACTCACACGTTCACTAACACGCTCACTAACACACTCACTAACAGACTAACACACTCACTAACACACTCACATGCTCACTAACACACTCACACGCTCACTAACACACACACTTGCTCGGTGTTTTACTTTGTTTTTACGTTGTTGCTTATTCCGGTGACCCAGGTCACTTTTGCAAATGAGACTCATCCTCTGTTCTGGCTTTAACAAACTCAACTTTAATCTCAGAATCAGAATATTTATTTATACTGGAGGAATCCATTGAGCTATGAAGGCCTTTTTCACTGATGTCCAGAATCTACACATGAACTGCAAAGTAAAATACAAAGAACCGGGCGCCACCGACGCACGTGGCCTGTAATCTGGCGCCGTGGAAGCACCGAGGTTTGGTGGATTGCACTAAACGTCGTGAAGCTCCCCTTCCCGTTGGGCGTCGAGGAAGTGCCGTAACCCTGGCTCACCGGGAGAATAGGGTACAGCGAAGTAAAAACTAATCTCAAATTATGTTTATTATACCAGGTTAGGCCCTACTGAGCTATATAGCTCTTTTCAGAAGCGACCTGGCCACAAATTATAGCCCAATGAAGTGGCTAAGACCTGGCCACAAATGATAGCCCAATGAAGTGACTAAGATCATCTATCACATCAGTATGGGATAGAATGTTGCACCCTCGCACGTGTGTGGGTTTTTTGCAGGTCCTCCGGTTTTTATTTGCTCATTATATCGATTAAAATATTATCAAATGTTGGTGCCGGCTTGCCGCCTGGCCGTAGCCTTTCCACCGTTCTTCCTCCTGGCGCCTCTGCGTCGTGCACACAAATGTAAAGACCCTCCGGAAAAAAATAGTCCTCGGGCTCAGCGTGGCTTCCTGGGCAACCATTGGACATCTGTGAGAAGGGCTTTGCAGCTCATCGGATTCCTCCTGTATAAATATTCTGATTCTGAACTAAGTAGCTATTGTTATTATTAGATAATGAATGGGCGGATGCCATGCCATGGGTATCCATCCTTGCCACGCGGCCGCGCGAATTAACGCAGCTACTGTGTGTCTCTCACACACCCGCGTGGGTGCGTCTGCGTGCGTGCGTGTGTGTGTGTCTCCCGCCCACATACGCGTGCGCAGCATGGACCCCAAGAACTCGCATCAGCGGCCCACGGTGGTGGTGCTGTGCGGGCCGCACCGGCGCGGCGCGCAGGGCGCGTGCGTGGCGCGCCACCTCGCCAACCGCGACGTGCACGTCATCGCGCTCGTGCCGCGCGCGCCGCCGGGGGGCCTCGCCGAAGAGGTGCGGCTGCTGGAGAGGACGACGACGGCCCGGTGCGTCGGCAGCGTCGCCGGTAAGGAGCGCCGGGCCCCCCGAGCCGCCTCGCGTCCCGCCGCCGCCGCCGCCCCCCCGCCCCCCGCCCCGAGGCAGGTGAAGCCGAGCCCGCGAGAGGGAATCTTCGTGTCGCCCCCTCCCCTCAGAGCTGCCCGGCACCGCCGTGGACCTCGTCGTCGAGTGCCTGCTGGGCGACCCCGACGAGAGCCCGGGAACCGGCGGCGGCGTCGGCGCCGCCGGTCCGCTCGGCCACCTCAAGCCGCCGCGGGAAGCGGCCGCCTGGGCCGCGGCGAACCTGGCCCCGCTGCTTGCCGTCGATCCGCCGCCTCCGGCGCAGAACGCGCCCAGCAAGGCCGGCGGCGTCGCCTTCGCGGCCAAGTGGTCGCTCGTGCTGGGCCTGCCGTCGAGCCTTGGCGAGGGCGCGGGCCGCGTGTACCTGTGCGACGTGGGCATCCCCGTGCGGGTGTTCGAGGAGGTGGGCATTGCCTATCACTCGCCCTTCGGCTGCAAGTTTGTCATTCCGCTGCACAGCACGTAAAAGCGATCGGGGTGCGACTGTGCGTATGTGCGAGTGTGCGGCATGTGTGTGTGTGTGTGTGATGGGGAGCAGTCGCACGGCGGTTAGCGCACCGAGCTTTGGACCTTGGCGCCCCAAATTCCGATTCCCGCTCACGACCGATGACAGCGTCAAATATTTTAACTGGCCCTGGCACCTCCCTTAGGTCAACTCGGCTTCGAATGAATACCTGGCGCAATGTGTAAACATTGCCACCGAGGAGACAAAGGTGCGTGGCGCTGGCCACCCACTTCCTCGTGTACCGTGCCGGCCTTCATACGTACTCGCTCGCAGCACTTTCCCCAACATTCTGTTGAGGTTGCATGGGGGAGCTTCGTCGATGTGTGTGCAAGCCGTTGAGTGTGGTGGTCACGTGTCGCAGGTCTCGTGAGATACGCCAGGGGTGAGGAATCTTACCGGATGCCGAATTAAGCCGATTACATACCTCCGATTAGCACGGTTGGCTACGTGCGGAATGTACGTACGTACGTACGTTCAGGGGGCAGCCACACGTTCACGCGCACACACAACACACACACACTCCGCGGTCGCTCCCATCACTGCAAGAGGCCCTCAGTGACGGGAGCGACGCCACGGCGTTTCCAGGTCGTAGATAATACCCCGGCACGGTAGTTGGAATAACGGTGGAGCTTTCTCACTCATTTCTCCGCCGCCCCCCCCGGCCAGCTTCTGTTCATGGGTATGCCACGGTTAAATCGATGGGGAGGTGTCACGTGTGGTGATGATGATGGGGGGGAAAAGTGTGGGTTTACTCCCACCTCTTCTGAGACATCTGGCCGGCATGAAAGAGTAGGCCAAAGTCACCCTCGATGAGAGTTCGCTCGCGTGGGAGGCCCCTTCCACAAGCCACTGCAGGGCTGCACCGTTACCTTTCTTTACCTTGTACGCGATTACTAAAGCTAAACTATGTTTGTATTTTACCAGGTAAGGCCCACTTGAGCTGTACAGCTCTTTTTCTGAGGCGACCTGGCTATCACAAATGACAGCTCAAAGAAGTGGCTTGTGTGGCAATGTAGAGCAGCCAAGTGACTATGAAACGTGTGATGTCGGTTCTAAATGTGGAGGGAAAAACCAGAGGTACCCAGATAAAAATCCACGTGACCACGGGGAGAGAGACACGCAAACTGCAAATATACAGCAGCGGGCGTCCGGGTCGGGATCGAACCCACAAACCTCCAGTATATCAGTCGAGGTAGTTAACATCTCCTAGCCACCGCGGCGCTTAGTTCAGCTCGCACTGACGGTTCAGTATCGTTCCGCGAGCCTTTTCGAAGCGGTGGTCCCCACGCGTTGTGGCGGGCCGAATCGCGCGCCTCCGATTTAGCACGGTTGGCTTCGTACGGTGTGAAAGAAGTCCAGCGTACGTCCAGTGACGTAGGCGCCCCAGCACCTGACATGGGAAAAACTGGGGGGGGGGGGGGAGGGGCGGCAGGGTCATGGGGGGAAGAGAGAGATGAAGTCACGGAGCACGGTCCGGGGATTCGTGGGTAAAGTTTGATTCTCTTTGTTGAAGTTGCGTTTTTATCGAGTTCGGTTCATTGAGCGAAGTTTGCGAGCGCGTGACGAGTAGACGCCGGCACGACGGTGAGAATGCGTGGTTCGGGTGTACACCGGACGAGAGGCTTGAATACGCGCGGCGTCTGGTGACCAAAGCAACTCAGGATTCGCCAAATATCTCCACAGGTCTCTGAAGCTAAGCAAGGGGTTGAGCCCCCGGGGTGGTGCTTAGCTGCGCGAGTTCCACGCACGGCAGGTTGTCATAGGCTGCTGCTGCTGCTGTGGCAACGTGGGTGAGGGCGGCAAGAGGGCATTGTAACACAAACCCGTTGTTGCGCTGTTCCTGTACTACTATGCATCCACATCTGTACTCCCCACCTGCAACCCGCACGGCAATGGTACGGTCAAATGACCCCCCCCTTTGACATGCACGGGTGTGGTTGGGGGAGGCACTCATCCAGCAGTGGGTTGACAAAGAGGGGTGGGGCTGTACATGTACATACGTTGTTGGTAATGGGAGTGCTCTGCCTGGGCATATTTCCCTGCACACTGTGGGGTACGCGAGTACACACGTGTTGACGCACGTGTTGACGCACGTGTTGACGCACGTGTTGACGCACGTGTTGACGCACGTGTTGACGCACGTGTTGACGCACATGTTGACGCACATGTTGACGCACATGTACGGTTGTTTTAGGCCATAATTCGTGAGAATCCCCCATGTTAGGTACAGATTACCTATAATCGCTGGGTGGCATTTAACTCATGGCGTTAGCTCTTGGGTTCCAGGCGGCTGAATGTGATTGAACTGGGTCCTCCATTGTGGCGAGTTGATGGTCTCAGTTTAACACGTAGTCGTCGACTTTTGCGACCAATATTATCCATGAGGTTTTTTTGGGGATTAGATCGCGCCACCACCCGACACAGCCAATTAGTAAGGATGGTCACGTAAACAAAACGTGCCAGTTCCTCGTTCAGCACACCGGTGTGTTGGAGATTAAACCCACAACATTTACAATTCGAATACGACGTTTCATTGGTAATTACAACCAGCCTCACCACCGCAAATGTTGTGGGTTTAATCTCCAATACACCCGTTTGCTGATATCGTAACTTAATTGGCACGATTTGTTTACGTGACAAACCTGACTAATTGGCTGTGTTGGGTGGTGTCGGGTTTAACGACACATTTATAGTTACGCCATCCAATCCAACAAAAAAACACTTGGATTGATGGTCTCAGCTCGGTCACCATTTACTGCACACACACACAACAGCAACAACAACATCGCATTCAATTTGGTTCTGCACTTAATTTGCTGTTAAATTTAGCTCTGAGATTGCAAAAAATCGGTTTGACTGTTACATAACGAACAGCAGTAGTGGGGGCAAGAGCTGCCCTCTCCTGTGTGTGTGTGTGTGTAGAACAAATGTCGCTTAAATAATTCGGATGTAGCTCTGTGATATCCACTTCTGTGGGCCGTTGTCTAGTACAGAGGGGGGTCGCACTGTCCTGTGAGAGTTACGAATCGTTGCTTTGTCTCGTGTCGTGACGCGACGCTGATAGCAACAATCGTGATTCAATTAGGGCAGCAACATACAACATACAAAATACGGAACAAAAATTGTGGAATTTATTTGGACACCCGAGTATGGCCAGTGCCTATGTTTGCCGTACCTGTGAAGGGAGCCACAGTTTACACGTCAATCTTAAGTGTCGTAAATGTGCATACAGCAAACATTTTTTTATTTTTATTCCACGTACGCTGACGAACGTGGTTTCCGATTTGGGCTTTCGTCCGATATTCCCCGCCCGCGCCCAAATGGGTGAAGTTGGCGATGGTAATTGCCATAATGCCACGCGAAGGATTTGTCATGTTTGGCCACGCCGAATTTTACTGTTGCCATTGTTGAGCACTGTCAGTTACATAGAAAATAAAGATGTTTTGTTCATGCGTTTATTGCAGAATCTCGTCTTGTGTTTTATGAGGTTTGACAGTATTGCAGATGTATGTATAGTATGTATGTTGTGTTTAATTTGATGTCCATCCCCCCCCCCCCGCACCTCTGTATGGTGCGAAATATGTTGAACTTCTTTCGCACCGTACATAGCCAACCGTGCTAATCAAACTAAACACACAAAAAGCAATTCTAAACGCATGAGTTTTTCATCCAGATGAGAGGCTGGTAGCAAGTTCTGCTCACGTAACCGTGTTTCGTTTATTGAAGGGTTTTACAAAAATTACGGGTGAAACATTGAGGCAGGCGAGGAAGAGCACGAACAAACACGTTAAGGCCGTCGTGAACAAGAAGAACAAGCAGTTAAATCCCTGGCCTTTGATCTCCACCCTGCAACTTCTGGGCCACAACCCTAAACCACATCCACTGCACAAATCATGGCAGCAGTGGCAGCAGCTGCTGATGTGGTTATACTCGATGATTGATTCACGAATGGGAAAATTGTAAACTCTCCGGGCAGTGTGCAGTGTCGTCTGTGGTCCCCACCCAGGACAAAACCACGGGATGAATCGATGCCCGAATCGATGCCCGAATCTCAGATTCGCCACTCAGCTACTCCTGACGCGACCGTCTGGCTCATCAACCACCTCCATGGAGAATCATGGCTCATCATCATCAACAGCCACACGAGGAAAAGGACGGACCCATAGCCTCATACTCAGACCCATAGCCTTATACTCAGACCCATAGCCTCATACTCAGACCCATAGTCTCATACTCAGACCCATAGCCTCATACTCAGACCCATAGCCTCATACTCAGACCCATAGCCTCATACTCAGACCCATAGCCCCATACTCGCCCAAAGACCCAGACCTGTATAGAGACCCAGACTCACATAGAAACCCTTATAATCACATACAGATCGATATGAAGGAGGCATCATCACCACAGCGATCTTATCTTAAAGGAATGTATATAGCACCTTATCCAAGGCACTTTACACATAATTAACGGTACATATGGATGTAATGGTGGAGATGAGGTGAATTAATAGATGAAGTAATGGGCAAATCTGTGATGCGTGAATTCGGTGAAAGTAAAATTGGTGGCAGTAAATGATAACGAATGGTGTGAATGAATGATTTCATTTCAGTTTCATCTATTAGGTATAACCCTGTGAGTCATGCGGCTCTTGACTCGGGTGCAACCGCAACAAACAAAAACATGAACAAGAAACATCTTAAAGTGACTACACGCAACAGAAAAAGCCAGGAAAAAACAGCAAAGTCTTCCAGAAAAAACACCGTATTTCAACGTGTGTGCAAAAATCACAGTGGTATGCAAGTCAAACAATAACCATAAGACAATTTAGATTAAAGTTATCAGGCTAACATGCCTAAACCAAAACGTCTACAAAATCACCAAAATAAAGCTATTAAAACAATGTAACAGTTATCATAGGAACTGATTCAAATGTAACAATAAACGATATACAAAACATGTACGACCAAACTTTGCAGCTATAGCTGGCTGCATGAGTTACTCCATAACAGCAGGAGTAGCAGTATCAACAAGATCAGCACACTATAATCAAAACTCAAAATCATACTTTGCAACGGCCATCCGGAACGATACATTTGATTTCAGGCAATTCTGAATAGCAGTGGCAGCTAGGGGTGTACAACTCCTCGGGCAGTTTTGAGTGATGATCTCACAGGTAGTGATCCAAGTTGCAGTGTATTGGCGATAGCATTCCAGACCCTGGGGGTATCAATAGAAAAGGCCTTTCCTCCAGTATTTGTACGGCAATAAGGAATGTGAAGCTGGTAAATGAGCGAAGACCTTAGGTCACATTTGTTCTTAGAAACAATGATGAATGGGGAATGAGTGAAAGCCATATAATGAGAATATTAAGAGGGAAAAATAACAGTGGCGGTTATGACAGGGAGATTAAGGGGTGGGGTCGTGGGTTGAGCTAGGGAATAAGTGTTGAGTGCAGAGCGGAAACTTGGTGAGCGAAGGTGACCACTGAATGTGGAGGGGGGGGGCGAGAAGAGAAAAAGAGCAAAAGCGTGGATTGAGCGCAAGGAGAAGGATCAGAGAACAAAGATTGAGGACGTAGCGAGCGAGAAGACACGTAGAAAGATGCAGGCATGGCAAGTCATGGTGGGGCAAGTCCATTGAAGGGAATTGTAGACCAGGGTGAGGAATTTGGCACCGGTAGTATACAGGGAGCCAGTGCAGTTGCACGAGGAGGGTCGAGGCATTAGAATTATAAGGTTGAATATTATCCGAGTTGAGTTGTTTTGGATTTGTTGAATGGAGGACAAAGAGTAAACGGGCAGATGGAACATAGAGTTGCAGTCGTCCAGACGAATATGGATAAGGGAATGGATGAGGAGTTTTTCAGCAGAGGTTGAAATATGTGGTCGGATTTTGCGAATGTTGAACATTTGAAACCGGCAAGCACGGGTAGTGGTCATCTGGCTCATCAACCACCTCCATGTAGAATCACAGCTACGGTTCGACATCAACATCAGCCGTGCGGAGAAAAAGTTAATATCTCTTGGAAGCCATGAAGCAATGAATAAGGGCCGCAGCCCGAAACATCGCCTATATAATTTATATAGAGAGCACCTTCAATCAAGACGCTTGGCATAGCTTACAATACGGTGACAATAGAATGATATAGTTGACAGGGGGGGCGTGCTAAAAGGTGTTGAGGAACGAGTGACAGCGATAGAGGGGCCTGGTTTGCAGATCGTTGCAACGGAAACGATCTTCCTCATTGCCGTTGCAATTTGGAGCGCCACATGTATCTGCACCCCCTCACTATTTGACTGACACGTCCGAGGCATTTATGCATTTAGAAACCTGCGTCTTAAAGAGTTTTTTTGGCTGCTATAAATTTCCACGTGATGATAAGCCACTTCGCCGAGCTATTATTTGTGATAGCCAGGTCGCTTCTGAAAAAGAGCTGTACAGCTGGGTGGGCCTTACCTGGTAACACAAAAATAGTTTTAAGTTTTATCTGAGTTGGGTATCCACCCCTAACCTTAACCAACATGTTGTGGTACTTTTACATCTAGAGAAAAAAAAAACTCAGTCTACTCGATGTCACTACCGCCACCCTCCATCCACACCTCAACCTCAACCCGCTCCGGCTGCGTGTAGAGCTTGAAGCCGCCCGCATCCACCTCCGCGTCCGCTCCCGAGGCAGAACCCTCTTCATCCGCGTGCTCTACCTTGACGCCGGGCCACGTCGCGAAGTCGTCGCCAGCTCCCGGCTCGTGTTTCGCCACGTCCACGGCGAAGGAGGGGCGGCGGCGCTCCGTCTGGGAGCCGGGCCCCTCGCCTGCTTCTTCCTTGACGGCCTCCGGAGCGAGCCCGTCGCGTTCTCCAGGCTCTCGCTTCACCGACGCGGGGACGGCGGCGGGACTCGGCGCGCCGTTTCGCTCCGCCTCTCTCGCTCCACGGAGCTCTCCCAGCGGCCTGCCGCGAGTGACGAGCTCCCCGCGCTCCCGGTCAGAAAACCACGCGGGGTGGACGTCCAGCAGGGAGTCGAGCGTCCACCCCGGGCGGACCACGGGGTGCCCGAACCCCTCCCCACGGTCACAACCACCGTCTCCCCTCGGAGCAGAAGTGACATCGTCCCCGCGGCTCTCCTGCGCCGCTGGCCACGTCTCAGGACCGGGGTTCCCTGCCGGTTCTCGCCCCGCGAGGGACAGGCCCGCCGCGGGTCCTCTTCCTCCGCGGTGGACAGACCTCGCAATTTCCCCGCCGTGGGCCTTCTCGTGAGCGTTTCGGTTCCTCGAAAGCTTGAACGTCTTGCCGCACACGGCGCACTCGTAGGGTCTCGGGCCCGTGTGCGTCTCTTGGTGCCTCTGAAGGTCTTCTGGGCCCGCAAACACCTGGCCGCAGAAGGAACACCCGTGGACCCTCCGCCTCATGTGTATCCTTCGGTGCTTCTTGAGGTAGCCCAGCTGCGCGAACGCCTTGCCGCAAACGGTGCACTCGAAAGGCTTCCCGCCGGCGTGTATCCTCCGGTGCTTGCGCAAGCTCCCCATGTCGGCGAAGGCCCTCCCGCACGCGCCGCACACGAACGGCCTGTCGCCCGCGTGCGCCCTCTCGTGGACGCGCAGGTGGCCCAGGTGCGCGAACGCCTTGCCGCACACGGCACAGTCGAGCGACCTGCCGGCCGCGTGCGTCTCAGCGTGCCGCCGGAGGTGCCCCGGCCGGGCGAAGCACCTGCCGCACACGCCGCAAGCGAGCGGGGCGTCGCGCGCGTGAGTCGCCCGGTGCTTGCGGAGGGTTGTCCGCTGCGCGAAGGCCTTGCCGCAGGCCTCGCACGCGAAGGGCCTGTCGCCCGTGTGCGTCCGCCGGTGCCTGTGCAGGGTGGTCGACTGCGCGAACGCCTTGCCGCACTCCTCGCACTTGAACGGCCTCTCGCCCGTGTGCGTCCTCCCATGGATGGTCATGCTGCTCCGTTGGTCCGTACCGTAGGGGCACTGGTCGCACTGGTACCGCTTGGCGCAGGACGGCATCGAGTATCCCTCCTCCACCCCGTCCTCCACCCTGTACTCCACCCCGTACTCCACCCCGTCCTCCACCCCGTCCTCCTCCACCTCCTCCTCCACCTCCTGCTTCACCTCCGCCTCCTTCTTCACCACCTCTTGCTTCACGACCTCCACCACCTCCTCCATCCCCTCCTCCACCCCCTCCTCCTCCTTCACCTCCTCCACCTCCTCCTTCACCACTTCTTGCTTCACCATCTCCTCCTTCACCACCTCCTCCATCCCCCCCTCCTCCTCTTTCATCTCCTCCACCTCCTCCTTCACCTCCTTCACCATCTCCTCCTTCACCACCTCCTCCATGTGATTCTATGCAGCAGCGGCAGAGGTGGAAGTGGCTACCACAGAAAACAAAACATCCAGCGTGCATACGGCCTTCCGTTAGCGTCAGCATCCGGGGCTTATGGGTTATAAAAGACAAACATCACCCCCTCCCCGTATTGCTTGAACAGTAGCACCTAGAAAGGCCGGAATGTCACGAGAGGTGGTGGGGTGGCTAGCACCACGACCGGCTGTCTCCATCGTGCCGATGTTTACACAAGGAGCAAATCGACTTCAGGGGAGGCCCAGGAGAAGTTCAAAAGCACTCGTCATGTATAATAGATAATGCATACCTATAGATACACATGCACACAAAATATGAACATTTCTCCAATTAGTCGTGTAACAATAAAAACATGAGCAGGAAAAATGTCTTCTTCATACACACATCTCTCCACATACAAAATAAAAGCATTATTATTTAAGTATCAGCCACACAGCCATCTGGGAAAACGCAATTTCAGCAGCATTGCTACAGTGCAAGCAAAACTCTGGACCGATTTCGACATTCAGTTTCTCATCAGCAGAGTCTGGCTCGCTTGAATGATTGGTTCAACACGTGAAAAACTCGAGGCCAGTTTCGACATTTAGTCTCTCATCAGCCAAAGTCAGTCGTGGCTTGAACCACTGGTTTAGCACAAGCAAAACTCTGGACCAGTTTCAACATTCAGTGTCTCATCAGCAGAGTCTGGCTCGCTTGAATCAATTCTGGTGAACTACCCATCTTACAGGCAAGGAGCTTATCTTTACAATCGCAAATTAATTTTGTCAATTAGTCATTTAGGTTGTTTAGATAATTGCTATTTTGTTTAAATCGACGTTATTTCCTGCGACCAAAATGACTTCAACTCCCGTTGAGAACCCCGCAGAGGCAGCGTTAGAAATTCCACGTTCCTGTTTCGGGGACGAGTCTATCCATAGGACGGTCCCTGTTGACTTCCCCCCTTTTCTCTGAGACAAACGTGGTACTTATTTTATCGACCCCAGAGGCGGGGACGATGATGATGGGCTGAGTCAACTCCCAGGATTTGAACTCGCAATTAATCTACTGCTGCTTTAGTGCAGTGATTAAGGCGCTGCCCCATAAGAAATTGAGTTTGATTCTTGGTCATGGGCTAACCAACTTCAGTGGCGAGTGACCAGTATGTACAGTAGATTACCTACTATAATCACCCAGAAATGTCTGTCCGTCCCGCGCGTGACGTCACTCCACATGAGGCCACCCCCCCCCCCCCGTGACGTCACTCTACATGTGGACCACCGCTCATTAATATTCATGAGTGGGTGGATTTTTACACGAACGCAGAGGAAGGTCGATCTGAATTAAATCATTTATTATGCAAAGTCGCTTCAAATATGACGACGTTTCTTTACAGAAAGTGACGGTAAAAAAATAAATCTACCCAGCACAGTGCTACATCCGTGTGTGACGTCACTGCAAAAGAGCCCTCCCTTAATATTCATGTACGGGTGGAAATTTACACGGATGGATAAGATCGCGCACTCCACATGCCACACCCCTCCCCTCATTAATAATGAGCGGGTGACGTCACTCCACGTGCCGCACCCCTCCCCAATAACCATTAGCGGGTGACGTCACTCCACGTGCCGCACCCCTCCCCAATAACCATTAGCGGGTGACGTCACTCCACATGGGGCACCCCCCCCCCCCCCATTGATAATCATGAGCTGAACATTTTTTCTATTGAATATTTCAGATTTACTGTAATATACACCCGTCCTTGAACGGGCAAAAAAGCTAATAATCAATTGTTTAAAATGCCTTTTGTTTGCACATTGTTGCACAACAATACGTTTATAGGTGTCGTGTAAATGGATTTTTTTGGGGGGCTTCTAATTAATTTACGACGTGAAATTGGCACGAATAAACAAATAAGACAAAGCTAAATAACCCCGTGTGACAAGTGACCGTATTTGCTGCGGCGTGCTTACCCACTCCACTCTGGCAGACAGCGTTGGGTTGATGCACGGCTCTCCGCTCTTGTTTCAACACCCACGTGGTTGACGATCGCCGGACTGATGAGGCTTTAAGACAGGCGAATTACACGCAGCTTGTCGCCGGGTCGAACCGTGTATACTTTCTGTGCGTGTTGCCGTAGTTGTCAGCCATGGAAAATGTATATGCGTGCGGTATTTGCATTAAGTTGTTGCGTGTAGCGTATAATGTAGTGTAACATTTGACGCTGAAATCAATCGTAGCCACTCTCTTTCTGTCACTCCACCACGGTGCCAATCACCGGACTGGGTTACGGCCTCTGGAGCGGTTTCGCCGAATCGGTCCGGGGCCGCCGGATAATGTTGAAAGCAGCCGGATGATAATCGATTATCATCTTGTGTGCGTCTGGCCTCTTTCGCACCGTACGTAGCCAACCGCGCTTGGTCGACCAGTCCTCCCCCTAAGCCGCCTTTCACGCACCAAGCCACCACGAGAGACCCAGCGTGGCGAAGTATGGTCAAAGCAACCGCGCGTGACAGACGAATGGAACAAAGAACCGTGCTCGCGTGGAGCCGTGCCAGACCCGGGCCGGGGACTCCACTCGGGAGCTTCCGCGTCCTCGACTTGCGTGACGTCACATCCGCACGCCGCCGTGACGTCACGTCGTATATTTAATACAAAAGACAAATATTGACACTTAAACGGTGTTTTAAGGTTCATAAACTGGTTGTTTTTACACGAATGCTTTCCTCGTGAATACAGCTATTTAATAGTTGGGAACACAAGTGCAATTAACAATCAGGAATCGATTGTTTGAATGACCATCTGAGCCAATGGTGTAAAGATAATGCAGTCTCTTTACCCATTGACTCGCTTCTGGCTCTGTTCAGAATCAGGACATCGACTTTTACACTGCAGGAATCCGATGAGCTATCAAGCTCTTTTTTTCAGTTGAGGTACAGGGTAAGAATGTGATAACAATCCAACATGATAACGGTGCAAAATACAAGAGACGTAAACAAATCACCCAAAACACAAACAAATACAACACTCAAACATCCACATCCTACCAGACTTAACTTATTGTTCAAAAGTGACCTGGCCACAAATGAAACATTAACAAAGTGGGGCATTATTTGGACATTTATAGCATCAAAATAATCGACACATTCTAAACGCATGTTGTTTGAAGAATTCTATGAGGACCATGGCCCGAAACGTCGCCTATTGCCTATTTCTCCTCACGATGTCTATTTCGGTGTTTGTGCTGTTAATAATTAGGACCATTCCCCGAAATGTATCATGTTGTAATATATTTCCCTTGTTAAGGCCACACGGTTGTTATTGACGAATACGTTGAGTTTGTGTAAATTATTGTTTAAAATTAAATTTGCTACGCAACATCGCCCATTAATTTCCACACGATAATAAGCCAATTTGCCGAGCTACCAACGTCTCAGTGGGCTTTACTTAGACATATAAAATAGTTTTATTTTAGATATATATTTTAAGCGGGTTTGTTTTTTTGTATTGTTTCTGTGACGTTCTGACCCAGTGCATCTGTGGACGTGTGACAAAGAGCTTTATAGATCATCAGATTCCCCCAGTATACAGTCTGATTCTGAACTAGGCCCATTGCCCGAAACGTTCCTTGTTGTTATTGACGAGTACGTCGAGTTTATTTATATCAGCGCTTAAAATTATAGTCACGAAACATCATCGGTCGCTGGATACGAGTGCTGGCATGACGTCACAGCGAGACGGACGAGCGCTCCTCGTCGTGACGTCATCGCGCGAATGATGACGATAGGGGGCGCGATGACGTCAGGACGAGTGCGTGACGAGAAGGAGGAGAGGTCATGGCGGGGTCGACGGTGCTGCTTCTGCGACTGTGGACGTGAGCGTCGCGGGACGCTCCGAGGTGCCTCGCTCGCTGCTTGCCGCCCTCTCCCTCGCGGCAATGCCGCACAGCGCGTGTGTAGTGTGTGTAGTGTGTGCTGTGTGTGCAGTGTGTGTAGTGTGTGTGTCGTGTGTGTAGTGTGTGTGTGCAGTGTGTGTAGTGTGTGTGCTGTGTGTGTAGTGTGTGTGCTGTGTGTGTAGTGTGTGTGTCGTGTGTGTGTGCTGTGTGTGTTGTGTGTGTGCAGTGTGTGCTGTGTGTGTAGTGTGTGTGTGTGCAGTGTGTGTAGTGTGTGTGCTGTGTGTGTAGTGTGTGTGCTGTGTGTGTAGTGTGTGTGTGCAGTGTGTGTAGTGTGTGTGTCGTGTGTGTGTGTAGTGTGTGCTGTGTGTGTAGTGTGTGTCGTGTGTGTGTGTGCAGTGTGTGTAATGTGCTGTGTGTGTTCTGTGTGTGCTGTGTGTGTTCTGTGTGTGCTGTGTGTGTAGTGTGTGTGCAGTGTGTGTAGTGTGTGTGTCGTGTGTATGTGTAGTGTGTGCTGTGTGTGTTCTGTGTGCGTAGTGTGTGTGTGTAGTGTGTTCTGTGTTTGTAGTGTGTGTTCTGTGTAGTGTGTTCTGTGTAGTGTGTAGTGTGTGCTGTGTAGTGTGTGTGCTGTGTAGTGTGTGTTCTGTGTAGTGTGTGCTGTGTGTGTAGTGTGTGCTGTGTGTGTAGTGTGTGTAGTGTGCTGTGTAGTGTGTGCTGTGTGTGTGTAGTGTGTGTTCTGTGTGTGTAGTGTAGTGTGTGCTGTGTGTGTAGTGTGTGCTGTGTGTGTAGTGTGTGCTGTGTCGTGTATGTGCTGTGTGTGTGTGTCGTGTGTACTGTGTGTGTAGTGTGTGTGTGTGCTGTGTGTGTGCCTTGTGTGTGCTGTGTGTGTCGTGTGTACTGTGTGTTGTATGTACTGTGTGTGTCGTGTGTAGTGTGTACTGTGTGTCGTGTGTGCGTAGTGTGTACTGCGTGTGTGTAGTGTGTACTGTGTGTGCAGTGTGTGTGCTGTGTGTAGTGTGCGTACTGTGCGTACTGTGTGTAGTGTGTGTACTGTGTGTACTGTGAGTCTAGTGTGTGTGTGCTGTATGTGTAGTGTATGTGCTGTGTGTGTAGTGAATGTGCTTTGTGTCGTGTATGTAGTGTGTGTACTGTGTCGTGTGTGTGTACTGTGTGCTGCGTACAGTCGATACGTGGCATGTGTTACCGTTTCCATACTGTTTTGTCTGCGTGCTTTGTGTGAGAACTGCGCGTTAGTGTGTAGGGCATACAGTTGCTGTGTCACGTGTCCTGTTTGCTTAATGTTTTGTCTGTGTGCTGCGTACAATTGCTATGTAATCTGTACGGTTTGCTTACTGTTTTGTCTGTGTGTGTCGTGTGTGTGCTGTGTGTCGTGTGTAGCGTGTACTGTGTAGTGTCTGCTGTGTGTGTAGCGTGTACTGTGTGTCGTGTGTGTACTGTTGCTGTGTAATGCGTACTGTTTTGTCTGTCTGTGTGTGTACTTCATAAGGTTTCGGTGTGTAATGTTTGCATTGTTTTGTCGTGTGTGCATATTGTGTCAGTCACGTGTACTATTTGCCGTTTTGTCTTTATGCAGTGTGTGTACTGTTAGTTAGTGTGCACTGTGTACAGTTGCCGTGTGACACGTGCACTTTGTCTGTGTGTGTCTATGTGTGTGTCAATGTATGTGTGGTGTTCACGCCGTCGGTGAACCCGTGGTGTTTTTGTCGTTCAATGCAGACTGGGAACTTTGTAACTGTGTGTGTCTGTGTGGTGTGTCTATATCTGTGACTGGGAACTTTGTCACTGTATTTTGCTTAATTCAATCTAACAACCTTTTTATTTATCATGAAAATTTACGGAGAGACAAAAAGAACACCGGTCTCAATTGCTTCGGCGTTTTTTGCGTGCATTGTTGTTAAAGTGTCGGAGAAAACGCTGCCGTCTATCGCGTTAGTAAAAAAAATCAACAAAATCTCAACATGCGAAAACGTTTGCGTTAGTTACGTAAGCGCAAGTAGCGCCGGCGAGGTTGCGGATGAACACCGCGGAGCGAGAGGCGTAAAGGCGGTGAACTGCACAGAGGCTCTCGGCATTGTTGTTACCCCAGCTCGCGTGTCGCCTCGTCAACTTTCAGCAGTCAAATATTTTATATATAAAAAAAATATTGGCGCCCTTCAATTGCCGTAATGAGTGGAAAGCGACCGAGCGATCGCGAGATTACGGGCTCTGCTCGCAAGCGAAAAGTGATCGATTTAGGGCAGAAGATGGAAATCATAAATAAGCACGAACGAGGGCAAACTCTGTCCTCCATCTCGCGCGAACTCGGCCTCGCTACCTCGACGGTCAACACGATCCTCAAGGACGGCGCTCGCATCAAGGAGCACGTCAAAGGTCTGGCACCTTTGACGTCCACCGTGATCACGAAGCAGCGTTCGGGCGCCATCTACGAGATGGAGCAGCTGCTCACGCTGTGGATGGAGGCCAACGTGGATGGGCGCGTGCCGCTCAGCCTCGTGGCGATCCAGGCGAAGGCCAGAAGCATTTTCGAAGACGTGAAAGGCAAGTACGGTGATGCCGACGCCACGTTTGCGGCAAGCCACGGCTGGTTCAACAGGTTCAAGGCTCGCTCGCGTTTTCGCGACGTGACGGTGCGCGGCCAGGCCGCCGCCGCTGCCGCCGCCGAAGGCGCGGAGTTGCTGTATCCCCAAGTGCTGAGAAGAATCATTGACGAGGGTGGTTACACGGCACGGCAAGTCTTTAACGTCGACGAGACGGGACTCTTTTGGAAGAGGATGCCAGAGAGGACTTACCTTTCCAAGGAGGAAAACACGCGGCTCGGGTTTAAGCCTGCCAAAGATCGCCTCACGCTTCTGCTCGGGTCTAATGCGGAGGGAGATCACAGGTTGAAGCCCCTGCTCGTGTACCATTCGGAAAACCCCAGAGCCTTTAAGGGCATCAGCAAGGCCACCCTTCCCGTTTATTTCCGTGCAAATCCAACGGCCTGGGTCACGGTGGCAATTTTCGAGGATTGGTTCATCAATTGTTTTATTCCCGATGTGGAAAAGTACTGCAGAGACGAGGGCATCCCGTTCAAGATCCTGCTCGTGATTGACAATGCCCCGAGCCACCCCGCACATTTAGACGACTTTCACCCCAACATCAAAGTCGTATTTCTCCCACCAAACGCAACGTCGGTCCTCCAACCAATGGACCAGGGGGTCAATGCAAAATGTAAAGCCTATTATCTTCGCAGGACGCTTGCTCAAGCATTAGAGGCCACGGAGGGAGACACTGGCAAGACCGTGCGTGAGTTTTGGGAAGCCTACGACGTTTACCAAGCCGTCCAGAACATCGCCAAGGCCTGGGCAGAGGTCACCCAGACCTGCTTGAATGGCGCGTGGGAGAAGATGTGCCCACAATTGGCGGCGGCGGCGGCGGTGCACGCACGCAGAGGCCCCCAGAACGACGAGACGCACGCCGAGGTGGCGCAGAGCATTGTGACGCTCGCCGCCGAGCTCCGGCTGGAGGTCGACGCCGCCGACGTCGAGGAACTCATCGAGTCCCACGGGGCCGAACTTTCGAATGAGGATCTCGCGGCGCAGTTTGAGGCGGCGAAGGTGGCCGAGGAGGCTCGAGACGAGCCGGCCGATGAGCCGCGACGCTTCGACGCGGCGGAGATGGCGACCGCGTTCCGCGAGGTCGCGTCGGCCATGGCGCGGTTCGAGAAGATGGACCCCAATGCCTCGCGGTTCTTGAAAGTGAATCGAGGGATAGAGGAGGCGCTGGCCTGTTACAGAGAGATACACGGAGAGAAGAAGAAGGCCACCGTCAGGTCATCGCTCGATAAGTTTGTAAGGAAGGTTGAGCGGCCTGCGCCTTCGACAGCTCCGCAACCTTCCACCTCGTCATCTCGCCCTGCAGCGCGACCTCTAGAACTTATGGCTGCTGATGTTGACGCCGATGATGTAACTCCTGTCTCCTCTCCTTCCTCCTCGTCTAGCAATTAAGTCCTCGGTCATTCACCACCAAAACGCCGCCGCCCCTGAGCGTATTAACGAGGAGCAAGGTAATTTTTGTAGCGTTACGTAATTTGTTTTCTATACGTATAACCATCTTACCCCCTCCCCCCACCCATGTCTCTATTGCTAGTTTTCCTCATTTAAAGTTGATTTAATTAGTTATTTACTATATGTACTTGGAACACAATTACACTTCGATTGCCCATGGTCTCAGCCAACAACGATCGTCTATTCATAAAAAAAGGTTTTTGGGTTAGATCGCGCGGCCAATCAATAAAAAATGTGTCACTTTGGAAAAAAGAGACAAATACTTCACTACTTTAGCCCACCGGTGTGTTGAAGAGTGAAGACATCCACCTGCTTCCGGTCTTAAATAGTGCAGGAAGACGTCATCGTTGTTGAACCCCATCAGGATTCCAGATCAGAGGCTCTGGAGGTGGGGGTGTATGCAATTATGTAATAGATCAGTAATCAGACACTGGAATTGCAATATGTGTTGTGCATTACTTATTAATACGCTTCCAGGATGCGCTGAGTCTAGCTATCACAGCGGTTGAAATTATTTGAATGATCAATTTCAATTGATTCTGGCCAAGACTAGTTAGGGAATCAATTGATATTGAAAAAATCACGGGTAATAAATCAGTGGGGGGTCTATAAGTGGAAAAGGATCTGTCGACCTGGAATGAGACAACTCTAGACTGATTGGCAGCCTATCGTGGGGCTCGAGGCATGTTCATTGTTAATTAATTACCATTGATCGAACAATTGCCGGATGTTAATACATTATTTAATAATTGGGTGGAAGACTAGCCTCGGTCACACTCCGAGGAGATGGAGCGATGAAACCGGGTTCGTGCGCACGCGTTAGATGGATTATTACATCGCAGCATCGTGAATATGCGGTTTGGGGGAGGCTTTCATCCAGCAGCGGAAGGATCATGGCCGATGATGACGACTGTGTATGTGCGTGTGTGCGTTCATGTCTAAATATGTACCCGAGCACTTGGTGCGATGTGGAGACAAAGGCGGCCGGGAATGGTGCTGGCCACCCACCCCTTCGTGTGCTATGTGGGGAATCTTTATTTTTGCATGCCCATGTGCTTCTGTGGTGATGCTAATGCAGGTTGTGCACATGCTTAGTAGCCACTTGAGCTTTGCACTTTGAACTCTACATTGAAAACTAATTTATTTAAAACTGCTTTTAATGTTTAGTTAATTTTCCTTCACCCGCTCCTCCGATTAGCATGGTAGGCTATGTGCGGAGCGAAAGAAGTTCAACATACATTATACATTCAATACGTACGCATTTGTGTTGTCTGTCTGCAGCCAGAAATTCCTGCGGCCCCCGGCTCTGTTCCCGCGTGACTGAAATGGAGCGGCGACAGCCCATTACCAAGTGGCACCAGTGCGGCCGGTGTACTTACAACACCCACCGCAGGGACCACATGAGGATCCACCTGAGGACGCACACGGGGGAAAAGCCCTTCAAGTGCACCGACTGCGCGAAGGCGTTCACGCAGCTGGGCAGCCTCCAGACGCACCGAAGGACGCACACGAGCCAGAAGCCCTTCAAGTGTACCGTGTGCGACAAGGCGTTCACGCAGCTGGGCAACCTGAAGACGCACCTGAGGACGCACACGGGCGAGAAGCCCTTCAAGTGCGCCGTCTGCGAGAAGGCGTTCACGGTGTCGTCGCACCTCCAGAGGCACCAGAGCACACACACGGGCGAGAAGCTCTTCAAGTGTACTGTGTGCGACAAGGCGTTTGCCCAGGCGGGGGCCCTTAACAAACATCAGAAGGTCCACCGGGAGATGGCGGCGGTGGTGACGGCGGCGGTGGTGGCGACGCCGGGGCGTGAAGGCCAAGACGCCGCGACGAGCGCGGCTTCCCGGAAAAGGGAACCGGAGGGAAATCCCGTCCGCGAAGCGCGGCCGGGGGTGAAGGTGAAGCGCGAAGTGGACGTGTCCGCCGCCACTGCCCCAAAACCCGGGCTTCACGGCGGCCACCTGGGTGCCCGCGCCGGGGAGAGGTCCCACGGGTGCGGCGTTCGCGGCAAGGCGATCTTCTGTTCGGGGGCCCTGCACAGGCACCGTAAAATCCACCCAGAGAGGATGCCCAACTCGAAGCCGCCGCCACCGAGAGAGGCGCCCCGCGCAGCTGCGTCGAGCGGACGGGCGTTCAACCTGGCGGACCATCTTCGCGGCATGAGGCACGGGCATGCAGGCGTCGGCAGGGCGCACGGGTGCCCCGAACGCAGGAGGGCGCTCCCGCCGGTGAGAGAGCTCCCCGGTGCCCGCATGCCGGCGGCTGCCGGCGGACAGAAGGTGGCTGTCGAAGGCGGCGGCCGTGGCGCCACGGTCACGGCTCCGCCATCGAAGCGAAAGCGCGAAGGAAATCCCAGCTTCGAAACGTGGCCCGGCGTCAAGGTGGAAGACGGAGACGGAAGCTGTCACTACACCCCGCCGACCGTCGTGCGGGAATGCCGCGGAGAGAGCCGAGGTGGCTGCGCGGCACGGCCGAGGGTGAGGGCGTCACGTGGACGCGGAGACGCCGCCCCGAGAACGGACGACGATAACGATGATGGCGCGTGGGCAGAGCGGGGGGAGCGGGCCCTTCCTTCTTCCTCCGTCGAGGATGAGGATGCGAGCGACACGGAGGGTGACGAGGGGTCATAGATGCCGTCCTATGCTTTTTTTTATTATTTTACCAGGTAAGGCCCACTCTGAGCTATGCGAAGGTCGTTTGAAAGCTCAACGAAATGACTTATTATTGTCGTGTGGAAATGTATAGCAGCCAAATACTCTAAATGCACGTCGATTCTAAATGTGGAGGGGAAAACTGGAGGACCCGGAGAAAAATCCACGATCACAGGGAGAGAGACACGCAAACTCCAAATATTCAGCAGGCATCAGCACCGGGATCGACTCCACGACCTCCTGCATACCAGGCGAGGGAGTTAAAATCTCGCCGCCATGGCGCAGGTGGGAGAGGTTCAACTGTTCCACAAGCTCTGGAGGAGGAGCACGTGAACGCACGTTGTTGCAGAGACCGGAGTCAAATTTAAGTACCCTTCCAAGTGCGCGTCAATGTAATATTTTCCGCAGTGGTCTTAACCTTTTCCTGTTCCTAGGTGTCTGCATGTTGAAGGGTAGGTTCCGTTCACCGCTGATTCTCGGAACACGCAAGCGGTACAGCGGTACTTTTATTTAGAGAGGCGTTGTAGTGCCATTGTTAAAGACATTGTACTCACCGCAGAGAACTGTCGCGACACGATCGCACCCTTTGATAGCTTGCGCCAAACTGTGCCACGCCCTCCCACATGGCCTCGTGGGAGCCTCTTTATGTTTTCCGACTTTGTTCCGATACGTACGCATGTGTACGTCCATGGAACTGATGATGTACACATACGTCATCGGAATGGGAAAGGGTTTAATAAATCCCAGTTGCCATTTAAAAGTATGGTCGCACTTTCAGTAGATATTTGCAGAGAGACCGAAAATCGCATATTGGGGCGAAGCTCTCGGTGTGCACTGTGTGGGAAGCGGTGGGGAGCGGTGGCGCAGCGGTTAGCGCCCTCGCTATGAAAATAGGCGACCAGAGTTCGATTTCCGCTCACGGCCGACCCCAGTGACAGTTGTCTGAACCGGTGATGGGCCTCCCCTATGTTAACTCGGCCTCAAATCATCTGGTGCGGTGTGTAAACATTGCCACTGGGGAGACAAAAGCGGTCGGGCGGGTACTGGCCACCCACCACCTCGTGTGCAGTGCCGGCCTTCGTAGGTATTACTCGCTAACACAGCACTTGCCTCAACAGTCTATAAGGCTATATGGGGGATCTTTGTGTGGGAAACCTCAGCTTTCGGCTTGGTTATCGGATCGTACCACGTGTTGTTCGGCACGGTGTCTGACGTTTCTCTCCACGTGCTGGAGCTTCAGAGAATTACACAGCACAGCCGTGAAAACCCACGCAGTCGAAAATGTTGATGTAATCATGTTTTAATGTTATATATAGCGTCGTCGTTCGCGCAAATTGCATCTCACAATCGCCAAGGAATCGCAGACAAAGCTGGAAGGCAGCTAGGCGGTTGAGCCGGCGTTAAAAATTGCTGAAGCCCAATTAATGTGTATTTGCATTATATATCCATCAAGAGAATTCGCATGGAAGGGAAGCGTTTCAACTCATCTCTTGAGTACTGATTTTAGTTTGTGGTACTTTCCCCGCACCTCCGATTAGCACAGTTGGCTGCGTAAGGTTACGACAGAAGTTCAGTGACATACAAGCGTGTGTGGGGAGGATTCCACTCCTGCAGAAACACAAAGCAAACATCGTAAGATGCACAAGAAGCTGAAGGTGACGTTTTAATGTGAAGATCAAGATCCTAAAAGTAAGTCCATTTCTCATAGCATTATTACAACAGTTTACCCAGGAAAGCCTCGCTAGGTCTCAAGGCTTTTTAAGGATCCTGGTAAGGTGTCTCAGCAGAGGGCGACACTTGCTATGTGCTTGCCAATTATCTGTCGCATATGGCCCATGGTCTTCAACATCCACTCAGAAGCAGACGGCACGTACTATTTTGTTATGGTTAAATACACCACCAACATTTAAAGTCACGTAGATAGGTTGAAAAAAATATTTTATTTCATTATTTTTTTACCTATTTACGTAAAGATCCAAAGAATATGAATTCCTGCAGCCACGAAAGCTTTTAAGTCAAGATTTACACCACCAACAGTATGTATCAGGGGCGGCCGTGGGGCCTCGAAGCACAAACCTCCACAAAGCAAGCAGCAAAACGCGGTATATGCCGGCAGGGTCACGAGACGAGAGCAAATGCATGGCAGTGAGACCCCATCCGCCCCCGTGGCCAGCAGTGGAAGGGTAAATGTGAATACGGATCGGCCGTTCTGGGGCCCAACCTCTTCCAGGTCGAGAGGGGAAGCCCTTCGTGAGGGCTTCGCTGGAGGTGTGGAGTCAACCGGCATGTGGACCTGGTAGATATAAACTTAAAACTTTTTTTTATTTTACTAGGTAAGGCCAACCGAGCTATTTTTTCATAAGCGACCTGGCCGCATGTAACGATCGCTCAACGAGAGCTGGCTTATCGTGATGTGAAACGTTATAGCGGCCAAATACCCTAAACGCGTGGTGATGTTGAGTCTACATGTGGAGGGGGAAAACCGGGGGACCCGGAGAAAAATCCACGCAACCATGGGGAGAGAGAGAAACGCAAACTAATATATATGGGCATCAGGGTCGGGATCGAACCCGCGGCCTCCTGCATGCCAGGCGAGGTAGTTAACATCTCCTAGCCACCGTTGTAACCAGGAATGGGAGGCTAAGCAGCTCCACAGCATGTATTTGTACGCAGACTTTATTATAATATCCCAACTGGATAGTTCATGCACTGCTGACGGAAGTGCCTCCCAACTCGTGGGTATGTTGCCCGACTCTTCTGCTCTCCTTCGACGTTTTGGAAGATGGGATTACCCACACTTTACCCCACCACACGCGACCTCTTGTTCACCCGCAGCCTCTGTGCTGATCAGTACGCTGCATGGCAGTTACGTTGTAGTACAGTGATTAAATGTGTGCCATGTAATCGATCGTAATCGATCTAATATTAAATACGTTGTGATATGCGATTATTCATTGGGGCTGTTTATTACACGAGTGCTTTTCTTTAGGAAACATTACATTTGTGCGTGTGAAAAATATCCAATTAACTAATGAATTTGCGGCGTGTGTGTTCAAATGTGTGTTCCCGCTCACGGCTACCATCAACACCCAGTGACGATTATCTGAAACGGTCCTGGTCCTCCCCTAGGTTGACTCAGCCTCAAATAAGTAACCTGGTGCGATGTGCAAACATCGCCACTGTGGGAAGACAAAGGCGGCCGGGTGTGGCGCTGGCTACCCACCCCCTCGTGTGCCATGCCGGCCTTCGTTAGGTGTGACTCGTTACAAACGGCACTTGCCCCAACCGTTGAAGGCTACACGGGCAATCTTTGTCCATAATCGAGGTTTTTGTTGAGTTAGATCGCGTAAATATATAAATGTGTCATTAAAACCCGCCACCACCCGACACAGCCAACTAGTAAGGGTTGTCACGTAAACAGAACGTGGCCAATTCGTCACTAGTACAGCACTAGTGTATAGTAGTGTAATATACTAGTACAGCACTAGTGTATAGTAGTGTAGTATATAGTGTATAATGTATATAGTGTATAGTAGTGTATACTTGTACAGCACTAGTGTATAGTAGCGTAGTATATAGTGTATAGTAGTGTATAGTGTAGTATACCAGTACAGCACTAGTGTATAGTAGTGTAGTATATCGTGTATAGTAGTATAGTGTAGTATATAGTGTAGTATACCAGTACAGCACTAGTGTATAGTAGTTTAGTGTATAGTGTAGTATATAGTGTAGTATAGTACAGCACTAGTGTATAGTAGTGTATAGTATACTTGTACAGCACTAGTGTATAGTTGTGTAGTATATAGTGTATAGTACTGTAGTATATAGTGTAGTGTATAGTGTATACTTGTACAGCACTAGTGTATAGTAGTTTAGTGTATAGTAGTGTAGTATATAGTAGTGTAGTATACTAGTACAGCACACCGGTTGTGTGTTGGAGAGCTAAGCCACAACAAATCAAAATAACTTTAACCGTTCGGATAGCTACCGTCTTAGTGCTGCGTGGAAGCGAATAATCAAATACATTATTTAAATGCATGTCTACAAAGGGCAGCGTACTTCAATAAGGATTACGGTTGGTAGGGCTATTTTAATAAACACAATGGACAGGCAGGACAAGAGCGCAGTAGAGTGGTCCACACATCTACACCTCTATAATGAACGAAACAGGTGGACTTCACAAATCTGGCTGTCGACTGATGAAGCTGGTTGTAATTACTGGCGAAACGTCGTACCCAGATTGTTAATGTTGTGGCTTGGCTCTCCAACACAACCGGTGTGCTGTACTAGTGACGAATTGGCACGTTCTGTTTACGTGACAACCCTTACTAGTTGGCTGTGGCGGGTTTTAACGACACGTTTATATATTTACGCGATCTCACCCAAAACCTCTATTATGGATGATATTGGTCGCGAAAGCCTTCGTGCTAAAGGGATCTTTGTTATTGTATCGAACCCTAAGAAGCCAACGTGCCCAGCCGTTCAGATATCCCACAGTGGCTGAGCGCCGCCGTTCAATTTGCCGACATTTCATTGGTGTAGACGAACCGGGGTGGGGGTTGGGGGTGCACTTCGCTGGCCAATCAGAAGCGCGCTTCCGCCTATCCTGCGTGGGAAATTGAGCGGTGACGTCCGTTGCAGCACAGGCGCGTTAGATTTTGTAGCGCGCTTCGGGACGGTACGTCCGCGATTGGTCACTCGGCGGAGCCGTTGACCAATCGGCGACGACGACAGCTCCGATCACGTGCGGACCCCGCTGCTTATCCGATGTGGGAAATACAAAGCGGCTGGGGGTTACAGGCGTGGGGCATTGGGAGGTCGTGGTAAGGAGAATTTGATAAAATGTTTTTTACTCTAAATGTATTTGTTTAATCGTTCTAATAAGTACCACAACGTGGAGGTTGCCTTTGCTCTTTTATAGCTGAGGTTGAGAGCGTATGTTTTTTTGTAAGTTCGTTTGTTGCTCCAAATGACTTTATAACAACCTGAATTTAAATTTAGTTGCATTTAACAAGCTTAATTGTTATCATTAGCGGTAAGGATTGACGGTTTGCACAAATTTACTTTTGATCACCCGTGTCACGGGTGAGTGAGTGCAAAATCCCGAAATGGATCATTTTCATTTACACGCAGCAATATTGCAGAGCACTTTGAATTGCACGTTGTCGCCGCTCACGTTTAAGTAGTACACCTTCACAATTGCACGTCTATTACAAATTGGTGTAATAGTCATAGCCAAAATCGAAGAATTTAATTTTTTTATATTTAAATATAATGTATTTAAGTGCATGGCGTTGCAGTAGCGACGCGTGATTGGCTCTGAGCTGGCCACGTGGTCGCGCTGTGCCTCGTGACGAAGTACAGTAGCCCTGCGAGCACGTGGTCGACTTTTCGCACTGAACTATTTGATTTATTTTAAACGAAACTATACTACGAGTTTGTATTTTACCAGGTAAGGCACCGCTGAGCTGTGGAGTTATTTTTCAGAAGCGCCCTGGCTTTCAGAATTTCAGAAGCGACATTTCCAGCAGCCATTTTCTCTAAGCGCACGTGAAACCACCGCACGCCTTTTTATTTGGCCCAGGTGAGGCCCACTGAGCTCAGTGTCAGATTAGCCTGGGAGCAAAAGTAGCTACATAAGCTACGGGCCCCGCACTTTCAAGGTCCCCGCGCTCTCAAACTATAAATTCCAGTGACTCTGCAATTGCTCTTTTACTATAGTGCTATACAGCACTTAAACGTTTACGAACGACCGGGTGTTTAAGGTTAGCGATGGCGTATTATCTGGCTGTATAGAAAATAAAACAAATACAGTAACTTAACTGTGCAAGTAAAAAAATCGTGTGTTAATATTTGTGTTTTATTTAATTAGGACCCCGTTATAGCATAATATGCTACAGGCCCCGCACTAGCTTAATCCGTCACTGGCTGAGCTACGTGGCTGTTTTTCAGAAGCGACCTGGCAATGATAAATGATAGCTTAACGAAGTGGCTTATCATCACGTGGCAATGTATTGCAGTCAAATAACTCTAAACGCGTGATGTTGATTTTAGATGTGAAGGGAAAACCAGGGGGACCTGGATAAAGATCCATGGGGAGAGAGAGAGAGAGACGCAAACTCCAAATATACAACAGGCATCGTCAGGATCGGGATCAAACCCAGGACCTGTGGATACCACGCGAGGCAGTTGACATCTAACCACCGTGGCGCCTAATTAATCATTAAATTACTCCAACGCTTTCACCAACTCGGGCTGACGCAGCGTGTCCGTTATTGTGCTGGTAGGGGTAGAGACAGTTCTTCAGTTTATTTATTTTGGTATAGCCCTGTGAGCCATTCGGCTCTTGAATCGGGTGCAACCACAACAAAAACAACTAAAACAGAACCCCCCCCCCCCCCCTCTCTCTCTCTGCACGGTGGTTTATTTATTTCAGAGGAAACAAGAATTGCTGATCTTGTCCGCAGGTGCGAAACAAAACAATAATTGCGAGAATGGAGATCGGGCTGTCAAACGGCCACGACACGGTTCTTGTGCACGCTTTCGAGATAGCGTCCATGTAAGAGTCGCCCTCTCCTCGTGTGCTGTGCCAGTGGTGTGGTCCATCTTGCCCCCCCCCCCCCACTCTGCATGCGTCACAGAGCAGTGATTCTAAAGCTTTGGCTGTTATGTATCTCCTACTGGGCCATACCCCCTGACTCTACCCCTACCAGGCATACCCCCACTCTGTGTTCCCCTACCAGCTCTACCCCCACTCTGTGTACCCCTACCAGCTCTACCCCCACTCTGTGTACCCCTACCAGCCCTACCCCCGGTCTGTGTACCACTACCAGCCCTACCTCTACTCTGTGTACCCCTACCAGCCCTACCCCAGGTCTGTGTACCCCTACCAGCCCTACCCCAGGTCTGTGTACCCCTACCAGCCCTACCCCCGCTCTGTGTACCCCTACCAGCCCTACCCCAGGTCTGTGTACCCCTACCAGCCCTACCCTTGCTCTGTGTACCCCTACCAGCTCTACCCCCGGTCTGTGTACTACTACCAGCCCTACTCCCTGTCTGTGTACCCCTACCAGCCCTACCTCTACTCTGTGTACCCCTACCAGCCCTACCCCAGGTCTGTGTACCCCTACCAGCCCTACCCCAGGTATGTGTACCCCTACCAGCACTACCCCCGCTCTGTGTACCCCTACCAGCCCTACCCCAGGTCTGTGTACCCCTACCAGCCCTACCCTTGCTCTGTGTACCCCTACCAGCTCTACCCCCGGTCTGTGTACTACTACCAGCCCTACTCCCTGTCTGTGTACCCCTACCAGCCCTACCTCTACTCTGTGTACCCCTACCAGCCCTACCCCAGGTCTGTGTACCCCTACCAGCCCTACCCCAGGTCTGTGTACCCCTACCAGCCCTACCCCCGCTCTGTGTACCCCTACCAGCCCTACCCCAGGTCTGTGTACCCCTACTAGCTCTACCCCCGGTCTGTGTACTACTACTAGCCCTACCCCAGGTCTGTGTACCCCTACCAGCCCTACCCCACGTCTGTGTACCCCTACCAGCCCTACCCTTGCTCTGTGTACCCCTACCACCTCTACCCCCGGTCTGTGTACTACTACCAGCCCTACCCCAGGTCTGTGTACCCCTACCAGCCCTACCCCCACTCTGTGTACCCCTACCAGCCCTACCCCAGGTCTGTGTACCCCTACCAGCCCTACCCTTGCTCTGTGTACCCCTACCAGCTCTACCCCCGGTCTGTGTACTACTACCAGCCCTACTCCCTGTCTGTGTACCCCTACCAGCCCTACCTCTACTCTGTGTACCCCTACCAGCCCTACCCCAGGTCTGTGTACCCCTACCAGCCCTACCCCAGGTCTCTGTACCCCTACCAGCCCTACCCCCGCTCTGTGTACCCCTACCAGCCCTACCCCAGGTCTGTGTACTACTACCAACCCTATCCCCGGTTTGTATACCTCTACCAGCCCTACTTGTCTGTGTACCCTTACCAACCCTTCTCCCTGTCTGTGTACCTCTACCAATCCTACCCCAGGTCTGTGTACACCTACTAGCCCTACCCCAGGTCTGTGTACCCCTACCAGCCCTACTCCCTGTCTGTGTACTACTACCAGCCCTACTCCCTGTCTGTGTACCCCTACCAGCCCTACTACCTGTCTGTGTACTACTACCAGCCCTACCCCCGGTCTGTATACCCCTACCAGCCCTACTCCCTGTCTGTGTACTACTACCAGCCCTACTCCCTGTCTGTGTACTACTACCAGCCCTACTCCCTGTCTGTGTACTACTACCAGCCCTACTCCCTGTCTGTGTACACCTACTAGCCCTACCCCAGGTCTGTGTACACCTACCAGCCCTTTTCACTATCTGTGTACCCCTACAATACCCCACGTGACCGCCGCCTTTGTGCTAACTGTCTCGCGTACCCCCTCGAGATGTCTCTTGCCTTACTCCAGATTGGGAACCGCTGTCTTGGACGGAGGTGCAACCCAAAAGAATAACCGGATGGTCGATTATTTCGTTCAAAGACGTCCGAGTGATCTCCCCGCTCAAGTGAGCGTTGAAGCGTCATTGGGAGCGCGTCGCCCGTTTGTTTACAGCGCTGAGGCAGCGGCTGTCCACTGTGAAAAAGAGTTTTTTTTGTTGGGTTAGATCGCGTAAATAATAAATGTGTCGTCAAACCCGCCACCACCCGACACGGCCCATTATTAAGCTTTGTCACGTCAACGGAGCGTGCCAGTTCAGCACACACCAGTTTGCTGGAGAGTGAACGCACAACGTTCACAATTGGAGTGCTGTGACATTTGGCCGTACTCTGAACTGGCACATTCTGTTTACTTGACAAACCTTACTAATTGGCTGTGTCCGGTGGTGGCGCTTAACGACACAACATTTACATTTACGCGATCTAACTGGAAGAAAAAAAACCCCTCTTATGGATAATATTGGTCGCGAAAGCCTTGCTACTACTCCTGCCACGTGTTAAACGGTGAAAAAGTACTTGGTAGCTCATCGGATTCCTCCAGGAATGAATAAAGGCTCCTGATTATGAAAGCCTCTCACCCCCCCCCCGTGGCCATGACTTTCAAATCTGTTCAGGCTAACGAAGGCTTCGAACTCGCGACGGACTCTGGGGACGTGGTGGCCTATGGGGCCTTGCGTCTGCTTAAATAACGGTTGCTCCTTGGAACTCTTGGGTTGCGATCTCCCCTTTTTTTCCGGCGGAGTTTTGTCCGCTCACCGCCTTACTCCGTCGCACCATCGCCACTCCCCTCCTCTCGCCTGCCGGACCGGCTTTCCCATGGACTTGGTTTGCTCCACAGCTGCGGGACGAGCCCGTCACTTTGTGGAGGTTAAAGCCTACGTGTTAAATTGTGGAGGTTAAGTCGCGCCGCGGCTATGCCCTGAATCCCTGCGATGCGGCCCAACAGTTCACGATTTTCAAGAATCAATTATTTTTAAAGACGATATTTTTTCCCCGTGCGGATCTAATACCGATTCCCCCCCACTTTGCGTTGGAGAAGGGGCCACAGAAGCGGATACCATAGAACTACCTCCTGCGTGCCTACCGCTGTGCTGTGCGGGCTAGGGGCTGGTGCTGGGCTCTCGCCGACACGATGCCCTGGCAGCGCTGGGGTGACCTCGGCACGGGTCGCAAGGTCGCCGTCCTCTTGGCCGTCCCCTCCGGAGCTTTGCTGCTCTACTTCCTCTACCACCGCCTCCGCGAGGATGGTGAGGGTCGCCCCCCCACGCACCCCCCCCCCTGCCCCCCCTCCCCCCAGCCCCCTTCGCCCCCACCCCCCCTCCCTCCAAGTCTGTCACGGTTACACGGGGTGGATGGGGTGGGCGACGTGTGCAGGTGACGAGGACTTGGCGCAGAACAGCAGCGGCGTAGCGCGCAGGAGCCTCACGACGGTGGAGATGAGCGTCCCGGTGTCGGCCTTGGGCGCCATCATCGGCAAGCAGGGCACCACCATCAACCAGGTGCATAACTGTCCCCACCACCATCAACCAGGTGCATAACTGTCCCCACCACCATCAACCTGGTGCATAACTGTCCCCACCACCATCAACCAGGTGCATAACTGTCCCCACCACCATCAACCAGGTGCATAACTGTCCCCACCACCACCAACCAGGTGCATAACTGTCCCCACCACCATCAACCTGGTGCATAACTGTCCCCACCACCATCAACCAGGTGCATAACTGTCCCCACCACCATCAACCAGGTGCATAACTGTCCCCACCACCATCAACCAGGTGCATAACTGTCCCCACCACCATCAACCTGGTGCATAACTGTCCCCACCACCATCAACCAGGTGCATAACTGTCCCCACCACCATCAACCAGGTGCATAACTGTCCCCTGACGGGGTTCCCCTTCCGTACGTTCCACTTCCGGCACACATCGGAGCCACGCCGGCCTCCCCCCCCCCCCCCCCCCCCCCCCCCCCCCCCCCCGGGGACCTCGCGGCACGAGTGGGTTTCACGCTCGCTGCTTTCCGAGCGAGCCGTGACCAATTATCTTTTATTTGATTTGATTTTGCGACTCAATGCGAGCCTGGTACAATACGGGGCACCGGGGTGGCGAGGCGTCACCAACCTCGCCCGGTACACAGGAGGAGTGTGCGTAGGTTCGATCCCGACTCTTGACGCCTGCTGCTGCTGTATATTTGGAGTGTGCGTGTCTCTCTCTCTCTCCCCTTGGTCGTGTGGATTTTTCTCCCGGTCCTCCGGTTTTTCCCCTCCGCCTTTAGAATCGACATCACCATTTTCTAGTATTTGGCTGCTGCTACAACTTTGTACAGGATGAGAAGCCACTTCGTTTGTACTATCATTTGCGATAGCCAGGTCGGCTTTTGAAAAAGAGCGATATATCTCAGTGGGCCTTCACTGGTAAAATGTAAAATAGTTTAGATCGCAAAACTTTCCACTTTGCTGCTGACGGGTCTCGGGTTGCCCACCACTTGACTAATAAAACTATTCAACTAAATCTTGACTTACAGCTTTCATGACTGCAGGAATTCATATTCTTTGGGTCTTTCGGTAAAGTCTCATAGATAGGTTCAAATTAATTAAAATAAAATAAACAAAAAACTACGACGTTTCGATCGCCTGATGACGACCGCTTGTGTTGCGATCGAAACGTCGAAGTTTTTTTTATTAATTTGAACCTATCTACGTGACTTTACCGAAAGACCCAAGGATTACTATTCAACTATTTATTTACCAGGTAAGGCCCCCACTGAGCTTCATATCTTTTGCTCAGAAGCGACCTGGTTATCACAAATGATGGCTCAATGAAGTGGATTATCATTGTGTGGAAATTTACAGCAGGCGAATGCTCTAAAAGTGCGGGCTAAGATCATCTATCGCATCAGTATGGGATAGTGTTGCCCCCTCTCTCCAAGTCTTCCGATTTAATTTGCTCATTAATTTGATGAAAATATTTTCGTATATATATCGGGGACCGATTCTAAATGCGTCAACTACCACCACCACCACCTCCTCTGCACCTCCTCCCCCCTTTGTCCCGTCCCTTCCCCTCCCCCCCCCGGCGCCACCTCTGCAGCTGCAACGGGAGACGGGGGCCCAGCTGATTGTGCAGCGGGCGGCGAGGGGCGAGCGAGACGCACGTGGCCAGGAGGTGGTGCGCATTCGCGGCACGCCGGACGACGTGTGCCGCGCCAGCGTCGCCCTCCACCGCATCGTGGCGGAGAGCGCCACCACGGTGGAGGAGCTGCGCCTCCCGCAGAGGGCGGTCGGCAGGATCATGGGTGAGGGGGCGCATCGTTGGCCCCTCGCGGGTGCCGGCGGCGCGGTGGAGGTGATGACGTGTGGTGGACATGACGCGATGGAGATGCGGTGGAGATGACGTGGTGGAGATTCGGTAGAGACGACACTGGAGGGTGGAGACGTAGAGGTGTCATGTACATCTCGCGGCTGGTGGTACGCGTAACCGTGATGATCACTGTAATCGTAAGGATTGTTATGAATTATAATGCATCATTCTTATTTCGCTTATCCCGGAGAACCACGCTGGGTCATGGGACTCAGTGTGGCGCACTGCTGTTGCTGCCACTATGAGGTTTTATTCGTAAGATGTTTTCAGCCGATGAGTGGTGATGAGCGTTATTCACGTGGGAGGAGAAAACCTCGCGCCTTGCGCGAGGGGGCAAAGCTGTATCCCCGCCCTGATGGAAACGGATGGCGATTGGTCCGAATGCTTTAACCGCCTTTTGGCCAGCCAGGGGTCCGGCTCTTCCTCGACGCCCACCCTTAGAGGGGAGGGAGTTTCACAACATCATCTGTGTGTGATCCACCAGCCATCACCGCTGCCTCCACAGTGCTGCTGAGATTACAGGCGGCCGCGTGCAGCGACGTAGCCACCACCACCACCATCACCACCACCAAAGACAAAGATCCCCTGTATAGCCTAAACAAACTGTCGGGGAAAGTGCTCTTAGCGAGTAGCACCTATGAAGGCCGGCACAGCACACGAGCGAGTGGGTGGCCAGCAGCACCCTCGGCCGCCTTTGTCTGCCCAGTGGCGATGTTTTCCCACGCACCGTACCGGGTACGCATTTGAGGCTGGGGGAGGCCCAGGACCGGTTCAGATAATCGTCACTGGTGTCGTTTGCCATAAGCAGGAATCGAACTTAACCGCTACAACTACTGCTCCCCACTACCACTCGCCAACAACAACAACAATCGCCATTCGCCACCAAGTGGCGGTGACGTCATCACGACGCCTGTGCCAGGCCGTGCGCACTTGGAGGCCACGTGAAGCGTGTCGAAGGCTCGCCGCCGACAGGATTGTCACGGGACATTGACCCAGGTGCTGTGGGTTGACCGACTGAGCTGGCGGGCGGGCGGGCGGGCAGCAAACCGCGTGACCGAGGAAGCGTTTTGTCCGGCGAGCGCAGGCCGAGGTGGGCAGAGCATCCGCGCCATCCAACGGCACTCCAACGCCAAGATCAACTGCGAGAACGCAGGCGGGCTGCACCCGGACAGCGAGAGGGTGTTTACCATCGTGGGCACGCACCAGCAGATTGAGATGGCGAAGGTTCGTGCCCTCCTTCGCGCTCGCGACGCCGCGCACCGCGGGAGAGACGCCCCCAGAGGGTCGCGGGAATCCGGAGCGCCAAAAAACGCGAGCGGCAAATCTACGTTTTTTTTTAATTTTCCCTGCTGGCACGCCGGAGCCATGCCAGCACGGATCGCTCGCGGTAACTGCCCGGTCTTTTTTCCACGGGCTTTTTGCGTGCCCACTCGGGATCAAACCTCGACACGCTGGCCTAACTTTGCATTTTAGTTTATTTATTTTTTGTTTCTATACTTTTTATTTTTTTTGTTTTTCATTCACCATCTCGGTTCTCGATTTGTACCGGCCGTGTTCTTTCCGTTAAAGTCTCCGAGCGCAGACGGCGCAAACGGTGGTAAGCAGGAGACAATTAGAAAAAAAATGAAACGATTGTTTTGTGAATCGACGAGGAGGGGAATCGCCGCGACACATGGTCGCGGCGACGAATGCCGGCCTCCCGTTCTCCGTTGCCCCCTCCCCCCCCCCCCCCCCCCCCGACACCTACCCCCTGCCCTCTTGTGTGGCCTCCGCAGTCGCTGCTCCTCGAGAAAGTGGCGGAGGAAGAGGCCTTCCGGAGCGAGATGCTGTCCTCCGTGGCCGCACGCCACAAGAGGAAGGTGTCTGGGACGTGCCACTCGGTACGCGGCCCCAACCTCAACGTCGCCGCTGCGACCACCGCCGTCGATGCGGCTGCTACAGCCACCGTCGCCTGCACCTTCGCCGCAGCCGCCACTTTCAGCACCGCCACCACCACCGTCGCCACCGCCACTTTCAGCACCGCCGCGGCTGCCGCCACTGTCGCCGCCTGCAACTTCACCACCGCTATCACCGCCTCCAGCGCCGCCACCGCCTTCACCTTCACCACGCGGCCCGGACAGCGCCCGCCCCCCAGCAGGGGTGAGGGCTCTGACCCGTGCCCAGAAGCGACGACGGAACCCGTGTCGTCCCGCCAGTCGTCCCGCCAGTCGCCCCGCCAGTCGCCCCGCGAGTGGCCCCGCGAGTCGTCGCCCTGCGAGTCGTCGCCCCGCGAGTCGTCGCCCCGCCAGTCGCCCCGCCAGTCGCCCCGCCAGTCGCCCCGCCAGTCGCCCCGCCAGTCGCCCCGCCAGTCGCCCCGCCAGGTCTGCAGGGCCACGTTTCAGGGTATGAGACGCCGCGTTCCAGCCAGCCCGGCGCTACTAGGGAGTGACGGACGGATGGATGGACGGACGGACAAAGGACAGATTGTGGATGGACAGAATTATTATTATTTTACTCCCTCGCCTGGTCTGCAGGATGTCGTGGATTCGATCCCGACCCTGGCACCTGCTGTATATTTGGAGTTTGCGTGTCTCTCTGTCTCCCCGTGGTCGCGTGGTTTTTTCTCCAGGTCTTTCGGTTTTTCCCTCTACATTCATGATCGGCATCACGCGTTTCGAGTATTTGGCTGCTGCTGCTGCTATAAGTTTCCACACGACGACGACGAGCCACTTCGTTGAGCTGTCTTTTGTGGTCGCTACTGAACAAGAGCTACGTAGCAGCTCAGTGGGCTTTACCTGCTTAAAAAATAAAAATTCGTTTAATTTAGTTCTGCAAGCGCATGATTTCTACAGCATCGATTCAAGACGAGCTAAACTGTGGCGTCGGGTCCAACACGCGGCGTCTCGTCGGCAGTCGGGCTCGCTTGAACCAACGCCGCTTGAACTTCGCCGATCCTTTACGGTATTTTCGATTCATAGTTCGACGCGAAACCGCGCGGTAACGCCGTGACATCAAAACTAAACGTTGGCGTTGTCCGGTCCGGATCCATCGTCGTCCTCCTCCGCGCGTCTCGTTCCACGCCGTGGCCCGTCACCACGCCGGTGCTCGCCACCCCCCCCCCTCACCCCCCACCCCCCCACCCCCCCAAGTGCCGAGCCCGGTGGCGGCGACGGCGGCCGGCGAGTTCTTCGAGGTGTACTTGTCGGCCCTCGAACACCCGGGCCACGCGTGGCTGCAGATCCTGGGGCCGCGCTCGCTGCAGCTCGACCGGCTCACCGCCGAGATGAGCATCTACTACGGCTCGGAGGACTCCGCCGCCGAGGTGACGCGCAGCGCCGAGCCGTGCCGAGCCGTGCCGTGCCGTGCCGTGCCGTGCCGCCTTCCTGCATTGGAGCTGCCCCACCCCCGCCCCACCCTCCAACTCTGTCCCCCCAACCCCACAACGTCCTCTATTGGGCCCGTCCCACCCACCAAACTCCTTCTGTTAGTGCTGTCCCCCCCCCCCCGACTCCTTCCATTTGTCGTCGTTTTCAATCCCTTCTTCTCCGTGACTGCTGGCGCACTTCTAACTCATTGCATCGGTTGATGGCCACTTGTTCTGCCCCCACTCGGACGCTTCCCATTCGTTATTTATGTATATGTTAATCATCATCGCACGTGACTCGGCGGCCAGCAACACACACCGCTGTTCAAGTTGTAGTCTGTTAGATGGTGGATGAGACGACGCAGTGAGAGTCTGGTTAGACCCCCCCCCCTCCTCAGCTCGTCTGGAGGAATCGAGCGACGTTCGCGGCAACAGAAACCATGGTTGCAGCAGCAAAAGTTGTAGTAGCGAGCGGCGCTAGAAGAATGAAACGGAGGCAACCGAAACTTCCCATATAGTGCCGCCGCGCCCGTGCATCTTCACACCGCTCCCCCCTCCCCGACCGTGAGGTGCGCAGGCCATGCCCGCGCCCGGCATTGGCGACGTGGTATCCGCCCCCTTCGACCACGCCAGTGTGTGGTACCGCGCGCGCGTCGCCCGTCCTCCGAGCGCCGACACCGTCGAGCTCTACTACGTCGACTACGGCGACAGCGCCGTCGTGCCCGCCGGCAGCCTGCGGCCTCTGCGGTGCGCTCCGTCCCCACCGGGCTGGGGTATCTGCAGAGGGAATATCGCTCTGCGACTCGCAGGTGGCAGTGAGGTGGTATGCTGTGTCCACTAGGCACTGGGGTATCTGCAGAGGGAATATTGCTCTGCGACTCGCAGGTGGCAGTGAGGTGGTATGCTGTGTCCACTAGGCACTGGGGTATCTGCCGAGGGAATATTGCTCTGCGACTCGCAGGTGGCAGTGAGGTGGTATGCTGTGTCCACTAGGCACTGGGGTATCTGCCGAGGGAATATTGCTCTGCGACTCGCAGGTGGCAGTGAGGTGGTATGCTGTGTCCACTAGGCACTGGGGTATCTGCCGAGGGAATATTGCTCTGCGACTCGCAGGTGGCAGTGAGGTGGTATGCTGTGTCCACTAGGCACTGGGGTATCTGCAGAGGGAATATTGCTCTGCGACTCGCAGGTGGCAGTGAGGTGGTATGCTGTGTCCACTAGGCACTGGGGTATCTGCCGAGGGAATATTGCTCTGCGACTCGCAGGTGGCAGTGAGGTGGTATGCTGTGTCCACTAGGCACTGGGGTATCTGCCGAGGGAATATTGCTCTGCGACTCGCAGGTGGCAGTGAGGTGGTATGCTGTGTCCACTAGGCACTGGGGTATCTGCCGAGGGAATATTGCTCTGCGACTCGCAGGTGGCAGTGAGGTGGTATGCTGTGTCCACTAGGCACTGGGGTATCTGCCGAGGGAATATTGCTCTGCGACTCGCAGGTGGCAGTGAGGTGGTATGCTGTGTCCACTAGGCACTGGGGTATCTGCCGAGGGAATATTGCTCTGCGACTCGCAGGTGGCAGTGAGGTGGTATGCTGTGTCCACTAGGCACTGGGGTATCTGCCGAGGGAATATTGCTCTGCGACTCGCAGGTGGCAGTGAGGTGGTATGCTGTGTCCACTAGGCACTGGGGTATCTGCAGAGGGAATATTGCTCTGCGACTCGCAGGTGGCAGTGAGGTGGTATGCTGTGTCCACTAGGCACTGGGGTATCTGCCGAGGGAATATTGCTCTGCGACTCGCAGGTGGCAGTGAGGTGGTATGCTGTGTCCACTAGGCACTGGGGTATCTGCCGAGGGAATATTGCTCTGCGACTCGCAGGTGGCAGTGAGGTGGTATGCTGTGTCCACTAGGCACTGGGGTATCTGCCGAGGGAATATTGCTCTGCGACTCGCAGGTGGCAGTGAGGTGGTATGCTGTGTCCACTAGGCACTGGGGTATCTGCAGAGGGAATATTGCTCTGCGACTCGCAGGTGGCAGTGAGGTGGTATACTGTGTCCACTTGGTACTGTGCGGTATCTGCTGAGTAAATATATCCGCAGATAGCAGTGAGTTGGTATACCGTGTACACTAGGCACTGTGGTATCTCCAATTAGCACACTTAGCTACGTACGGTGCGAAAGAAGTTCAGCGTGCTTACCATACATCTGCTTCGTGACTGTTGCTTTGCGACTCGCAGGTGGCATTGAGGTGGTATATCGTGCACACTCAGCACTGGGCACCGTGTGGTATCTGCGAAGTGAATTTTCCTTTGCGGCTTTCAGATTTCAGTGACCGTTGCTGTTGTTGACTTCTTTATTCAGGAGCGACTTTCTGAGTCTCCCCTTCCAAGCGGTCGAATGCAGCCTCGCCCAGGTGAAGCCAGTCGGTACGTTCCCGGGTGGGTGGCTTTGGTTGGGCGAGTGAGTGTGGGTGGGTTGGGTGGGATGGTGGGTAGATTTGGGTGGGTGGGTTTGGTTGGGTTTGGTTGGGTGGATTTGTTTGGGTGGGTTTGGTTGGGTGTGTTTGGTGGGTTGGGTGTATTTGGTTGGGTGGGTGGGTTTGGATAGGTGGGTGTGTTTGGGTGGGTGGATTTAGGTGCGTGTGTGGCCGTGACACGTCTTGCGCTTGTCCGACCGGGGCCGGTACGAACCCGCGTAAGCCAGCGGGGCCACCCCCGCGGCTCGTTGGGCTGACTCGTCCGGGCCGTGCCCCACGATCCGCCACGCCAGGCGAGTGCTGGAGCGAGGAGGCGAGCGACGAGTTTGAGCGGCTCACGCACTGCGCCTGCTGGACGGCGCTGCAGGCCAAGATCGTGCGCTACGTGGCCACGGAGAGCGGAGTCGTGCCCAGCGTGCAGCTCATCGACGTCACTGGCGAGCAGGTGGCACTCGGCTGGCATCCTCCCCGCCCCCCCCCCCTACCTCACGCCCCTCCCCCACCTCGTATCGCGCATCCAGGACACCGTTAAAAGTCTCATTTCAAAAGCCAATTTGTATCCGTTGGTTTGTCCTTAATTGCGATTGGATGTTACCCGCACTGTGAGTGTAATCGGTTATCGTTGGCGTTTTAACTGAACTTAAAACAAGTTTTTTTTATATTAGCAGGTAAGGCTCACTGAGAAGCGTCCTGACAGTCACAAATGACAGCTCAACCAAGTGGCTTTTCATCATCACGTGGACATTTATTGCAGCAGCCATAGTTCTCTAAAACGCGTGGCGATGTCGATTCTGAATGTGGAAGGAAAACCCGGAGGACCTGGAGAAAATTCGACGCTATCACGGGGATAGAGAGAGAGAGACGCAGACTCCAAATATACAACAGACGTCAGGGTCGGGATTATTGTTGCCGTTCATCTTGTTTATTCTCAGCTTTTATTGTTGCGAAGGCCGCTTCCAGCCAGCGTCCAACCGTGGTTGTCTCGGCACAGTTTATTTACTTTTGTCTAGGTTAGGGAGCGGGGTTGGGGTGGGGATCTGCGGTCTACGTTGCCGAGTGTTAACCAGGGAGGCCGTAGGTTCGGCGCGTGCCACCCTCGGGCGGCACGCGCCGCTCACCTGCGGACGTTCTCACGGTCCGAGCTTGCGGCGGCCGCCCCGGTTCATACTCTAACACCCCCCAGAGCGTGGACGTCGCCGCGGAGCTCGTGAGGCTCGGCCACGCCGCCTGGGAGGAGCCCGAGCCGGAGGAGGGCACCGGCGGCACCGACGGGGGGCAAAGCCCAGGGCCGGCAGCTGCCAAGATTCAGGTGATGCGGGCGGGCGGGCGGGGTGGGTGTATGGTGGGCGGGGTGGGTGGGTGTATGGTGGGTGGGGTGGGTGGGTGTATGGTGGGCGAGGTGGGTGGGTGGGTGTATGGTGGGCGAGGTGGGTGGGTGTATGGTGGGCGAGGTGGGTGGGTGTGTGGTGGGCGAGGTGGGTGGGTGGGTGTGTGGTGGGCGAGGTGGGTGGGTGTGTGGTGGGCGAGGTGGGTGAGGTGGGTGGGTGGGTGTGTGGTGGGTGAGGTGGGTGGGTGTATGGTGGGCGAGGTGTGTGGTGGGTGAGGTGGGTGGGTGTATGGTGGGTGAGGTGGGTGGGTGTATGGTGGGTGGGTGGGTGGTGGGCGAGGTGGGTGGGTGGTGGGCGAGGTGGGTGGGTGGGTGTGTGGTGGGTGAGGTGGGTGGGTGGGTGTATGGTGGGTGAGGTGGGTGGGTGGGTGTATGGTGGGCGAGGTGGGTGGGTGTATGGTGGGCGAGGTGGGTGGGTGGGTGTATGGTGGGCGAGGTGGGTGGGTGGGTGTATGGTGGGCGAGGTGGGTGCGTGGGTGTATGGTGGGTGGGTGGGTGGGTGGTGGGCGAGGTGGGTGGGTGTATGGTGGGCGAGGTTGGCCATCTTAGAACGGAGGCTCCGCACGTGCGCCGGCCTCCCTCCGGTGCAACCCAGCGGCGCCAGCGCGGGGCTGTCGCGGGCGCACGTGCGGGTTTCCGCTGGCGCGGCCTCTCTCACCCGGCCCCGTTGCTTCACGCCCTCGCCCAACCTCTAGAACGGAACCGCGTTGACCGTGTCGGCTCCTGAAGTCGGAGGAGACGCCGAGGCGTCGGACGAGAAGTTGGACGAGTCCGCAGGTGCGTCCGCTCGCCGTCGCACGCGCGAGCACACGGCGCGCGTGGCGAGTGCACCGCCTAACGAAGGCGGCTTTCGGCCCCAGTTCGATTCACGGCCACCGGCGCCAGGGGGCGGTTATCCGAACCAGGTGCCGGGCCTCCACTAGGTCGACTCGGCCTCAAGTGATCACATCGTCGTTGTCGTCGTGCAGGTGACGCCGGCGCGAGTCCGGGGATCGGCGAGCCGCGTGCGGAGACGACGACCGGAGAAGAGGGAAGCCTTCGAGGAACGCTCTCAACCTAGCGGGGGGAGGGGAGTGGGGTGGGGGGTGGGGTGGGGGTGGGGGGTGGGGGAGGGGGGCGGGGTGGGGGGGTACCAGCGTCCAGCCGTCGACCCGCCGCGCCGCGCACTGCGGCGGCTCCGGGGGTTACCGCGACGAGGTCGTCGTGCTGCGGTCAGCGCCGGTGGTGGTGCTGCGGTTAAGGCGGGTACCTGTGGCGTGTGGGGGGGGGGGGTTGGGTGGGGGTGAGCGGCGGCGCAGCGGTTAGCGCCCCGCCACGCGATGAAACCGCCGGAACCGAGGGTCGGTATCTGCGCTCGCGCCCAAACCCAGTGGCGAAAGTTTGAAGGGATCCTGGGCCCCCGCTAGGTCGACTCAGCCTCGAGTGAGTACCCGCGTCTCGGGGCGGGGACGGGAGGTGCTATGCGTAAATGTCGGCGCTGTGGAGAGACAAAGGCGGCCGGGCGGGCGTGGTGCTGGCCACCTATCCCCTCGTGTGCCACGGTGCCGACCTCCGTAGGTGCTGCCGTTCGCTAACGGCACTTGCCCCGACAGTCTATTAGAGGCTGCACGGGGGAGCTTTGTCCTTGCGTTGGTTACCGACGCGCTTGCGGGCCCGTTTTGCCGAGAGCTCTGATTGGAACCCATCATCCATCCCTCCGGAGTCGATTAAAATGAGCACCACTTTGTGGTGACATCAACTGCGGTTCTCCCATGCATAGACTCACCCTCCCCACCCCCTCCATGGGAATGTGGAATTTCCACCACTGGCTTTGCAGGGGCTGTAAACATCTAAGGGGACCGCCCAGGGGCTCAGGGGGGCTCGCTTGAGCGTAAGCGAGAGAATCGCTTTGACAGATTGTTGAACGCAGTTTGTTTGTTTCAGTATTGCAGCGGTGCTCCGTCGACGGTTGATTTCGAAAGTGGCGCTGCCTTCCCTTATTGTGGGCGTCCACGCTGGCGAGATGTTGACTACCTCGCCCGGGGTGCAGGAGGTCGTGGGTTCGATCCCGGCCCTGACCCCTGACCCCTGCTGTGTATTTGGAGCTTGCGTGTTCTCCCCGTGGTCGCGTGGATTTTTTCCGCGGGTCCACTGGTTTTTCCCTCTTCGTTTAGAATCGACGTCACGCGTTTAGCGAGTATTTGTCTGCCGCTGTATATTTCCACACGATGGTGACAAAGCCTTTACTTGGTTTAGCTATCGTTTCTGATGGCCTGGTCGCTTCCGAAAAGAGAGCTGTATAGCTCATTGGGACCTTACCTGGTGAAATAAAAAATAGTTTTGTAGTTTTTTCGCGGTGGCGGTGAGCGCACAACAGTTAAAATTGAAGCGGAGTTGAGCTGCCGGTAGTGGCGGTCGGCATCACTTGGGGAAGGGGGCGGGGCGACACCTTGCTGATGAACACAAACAGCACGTCGCTGTCGCACTGCAAATTATAAGTGATGATGAATAAATTGCAGCCGGTCACGATCCATCCACCAAGGAATGAAGCCCCCCCCGAGCCTACACCGTGTCGGTCCTGGGGGGTTTGATTGGTTTTTGTTTTTGGCCATACTTCACCGCTCCGTGACAGTGTGGATTGGCAAAGTCGGGGGTGGGGGGAGTGGTGGCACAATGGTTTTGGCGCACCGGGCTATTGCTCTTCGTAGGTTTTGTTGGGTCTTCATGCAGATTAATCTGAGCTCAGCCGTGGGCAGCAGAGGGCGGCCCAACACAATCTGTTGCCCTATACAGCAAAGTCTCTCGTTTCACGCGCTGTTAGTAGCAGTGGTGGTGTCGAGGCGTTCCTGAAGAGCGCCCGCGTTGAGCGGAAACAGTTTCCCCCCATGGATGATGCAACGATGAAGTTTGGTGGGGTACGGTGTGCAACTACGGTGAGATGGGGGGAACACATAACCGAGGGTGCGCCCTCCGCGTGACCGTATCACTCCGCGTACCGTATCGTACCGTATCACTCCGCGTACCGTATCGTACCGTATCACTCCGCGTACCGTATCACTCCGCGTACCGAATCGCTGTACCGCTCGGCTCAAGAAAGATGTTGGTCGTCGATTGCTCAGGAACCGCGTTATAACAGTGGCTCGCGCTCCGCATCACAACGGTGCAATCCGCATTGTAACAAGGGCCGTGTACCACGTTATAATGGGAGGGGGGTGCGTGTGTACCACGTTATAACAACGGGTGTGTGTACCACGTTATAACAACGGGCGTGTGTAGCACGTTATAACAACGGGCGTGTGTACCACGTTATAACAACGGGCGTGTGTACCACGTTATAAAAACGGGCGTGTGTAGCACGTTATAACAACGGGCGTGTGTACCACGTTATAACAACGGGCGTGTGTAGCACGTTATAACAACGGGCGTGTGTACCACGTTATAACAACGGGCGTGTGTACCACGTTATAAAAACGGGCGTGTGTAGCACGTTATAACAACGGGCGTGTGTACCACGTTATAACAACGGGCGTGTGTACCACGTTATAAAAACGGGCGTGTGTACCACGTTATAACAACGGGCGTGTGTACCACGTTATAACAACGGGCGTGTGTACCACGTTATAACAACGGGCGTGTGTACCACGTTATAAAAACGGGCGTGTGTACCACGTTATAACAACGGGCGTGTGTACCACGTTATAACAACGGGTGTGTGTACCACGTTATAACAACGGGCGTGTGTACCACGTTATAACAACGGGTGTGTGTACCACGTTATAACAACGGGCGTGTGTACCACGTTATAACAACGGGCGTGTGTACCACGTTATAACAACGGGCGTGTGTACCACGTTATAACAACGGGCGTGTGTACCACGTTATAAAAACGGGCGTGTGTAGCACGTTATAACAACGGGCGTGTGTACCACGTTATAACAACGGGCGTGTGTACCACGTTATAAAAACGGGCGTGTGTACCACGTTATAACAACGGGCGTGTGTACCACGTTATAACAACGGGCGTGTGTACCACGTTATAACAACGGGCGTGTGTACCACGTTATAAAAACGGGCGTGTGTACCACGTTATAACAACGGGCGTGTGTACCACGTTATAACAACGGGTGTGTGTACCACGTTATAACAACGGGCGTGTGTACCACGTTATAACAACGGGTGTGTGTACCACGTTATAACAACGGGCGTGTGTACCACGTTATAACAACGGGCGTGTGTACCACGTTATAACAACGGGCGTGTGTACCACGTTATAACAACGGGCGTGTGTACCACGTTATAACAACGGGCGTGTGTACCACGTTATAACAACGGGCGTGTGTACCACGTTATAACAACGGGCGTGTGTACCACGTTATAACAACGGGCGTGTGTACCACGTTATAACAACGGGCGTGTGTACCACGTTATAACAACGGGCGTGTGTACCACGTTATAACAACGGGCGTGTGTACCACGTTATAACAACGGGGACCTCGCGTTGCAGCGAACGCCGGCGGGCGTTGAGCGAGGACTGGGCCCGTGATGCCATCCCACGTGCGGCCTCGCCACCTTCGCCGTGACCCACGCGTGGCGTTGTGTGGGAATGGGGGGGGGGTGGTGGTGGGGGTGGGAAGGGGGAGCCCTCATCCAGCAGTGGATTTCCCTCTGCAGTGCAACCCCGCGTCATTGCCTTGGAAGTCGTTTCGAATTTGGCGGAAATCGGCGATCGCAGCGACACGCACGGACGGACGTTCGGATGGTAACACCGTTGTGATGCCGTTTACCGGTCTACCACCGCCGCTACCACCACCACCACCACCCCTTCGACCACCACTCCCGCTGCTTCCGCCACCCCCACCAAATCCCGCCACCCCCCCCTCGCTACCCCCCCCCTCCCCGCCACCCCCCCCTGCCACCCCACCCTCTCCACCCCCACCTTCGCCTCCCCCCCCTCCATGGCCTCGCCGCGAGCGTTAAGGGCGACTTTGTCGTCATTGGGAAGTGCCATTGACAGAGTTTCTACGCTTCGAAGTGCAATTTGCGTTTTAAGTGTTCTTGTTCATCAGCTTTGAATAAACGTGTTGTTATTGATGACCCTCTCGCGTGCCGCGGAGAGCAACGCGAGCGAGCCGCCGGCCGAGCCGCCGGCCGAGCCGCCGGCCGAGCCGCCGGCCGAGCCGCCGGCCGAGCCGCCGGCCGAGCCGCTGGCCGAGCCGCCGGCCGAGCCACCGGCCGAGCCGCCGGCCGAGTGCAACCGAAGCGCTCGCAGTGCGCGTCTCTGCGACCGCGTTGCCGCTCGCGCTAAGAGTACGGCCTCGGCTGTCGCGTGCGGCACGTGCCTGCTGCGACCCCGGTTGCGGGCAGCAGTCGCGCAGCCGGCTCGCTCCCTCCTCTCCGGGCCGCCTGCCGCGCACGATTGGCGGGTTGTTACCGGCGACGTTGGGGCCCGCACGGTTCTGTGTGTGTGTCTGTGTGTGTGTCTGTCTGTGTGTCTGTCTGTGTGTCTGTCTGTGTGTCTGTGTGTCTGTCTGTGTGTGTCTGTGTGTCTGTGTGTGTGTCTGTGTCTGTCTGTGTGTGTCTGTGTGTCTGTCTGTGTGTGTCTGTGTGTGTGTCTGTGTGTGTCTGTGTGTGTGTCTGTGTGTGTGTCTGTCTGTGTGTGTGTCTGCGTGGGACCGCCGTGCCAGGCCTGCGCGGGGACGGGGAGGGCGAACGACGGTGACGTGACAATGGCCGTGGGATGTCGACGGGCGCCCTCCACCGCCTCGCGTATTTACTAAGAGCGGCTTGCGGCAGAGCTAACTGCGAAGATGACAACGTTGCACCACGGCCGTACGCGCTCGCTCGCCCTCTCGCGCCAAAGTGCCGGTATCCCGCGGCCTTCGCGGGCGTTGGGTTTCCGGAAGTTTCCCGTGCGGCGGGAAATTGACGACGCTGAAGGAAACTTTTGGTTTTTTTCTCCGTTGGACGAACGAAATTGAATTTTCCTCCGAGCGAACGAAATTTCTCCGCGGGCCCCTCGCCGTGAGGTCGTCGCACGAGAAGCCGCCCCCCCACCGGAGGAGGCTGCCGTCGTCGTACGTCAGCTTTCCGCACG